GAAAATGCTTCAAGATATGGGCATAATAAGGACTTTCAGAGTAGAATCCTACGCTCCAAGGTGTGACAGGGCAAGACAGTGCAGAAGTTTTCCATCTTGTATTCTTGTCGAGGCCATTTCAGGCTTTACTATAATTTTATCTCCTTGACAAGTGAATCTGTTGGAAAACTATCCAACTCTATTCTAGGAGCCCCAGGTCAAGATGTCCCAACTAACTCATCTTAACTTCTGTCAAACTGCTGTGTATGCATAGCCTCCATCCCTACCCCACCCCACACCCACCTATAGATGCCAGGATGTGGTTTCTGCCTTCAGAAACTCTGTGCTCTGGACACTCTGTGCTACCTACACTTAGTACCTGAATGCCTAAGTGTAGTCCCAGCCAGCTGGAATAGACACTTTCTTTCTTTCTTTCTTTCTTTCTTTCTTTCTTTCTTTCTTTCTCTGTATTGTTTGGGAGGCTGTCCTGGAACTCGCTCTGTAGACCATGCTGGCCTCGAACTCACAGAGATCCACCTGCCTCTGCCTCTCGAGTGCTGGGATTAAAGGCGTGCACCACCAACGCCCAGTTTGGAATAGACACTTTCAATTGGCTTTATACTATACCTGAGTGGTCACCTGTAGTGGGCTTCTCATAACACATGAAATATAGTAAAGAAAAATAGAAAATAGACTCTCATGAAATAAATTGAATTTCTGTACAGCAAAGGAAATAGTTAATGGAATGAAGAGACAGCCTTCAAAAAGAGATATTATTTGCCAGATGTACATCTGACAGAGGATTAGTATCTGGAATACATAAAGAACTAAAAAAAACTGAGCAATAAAGGACTAGAGAGGTGGCATTGCAGGTAAAGTACTTGCCACAAAAGCATAAGGACAATATCTGGATGCCCACAACCCACATAAATGGTGCTTGGAAGGCAGAGAGATTGAGACCCCTGGAGCAAGTTGGTCAGCTAGACTAGCCAAAGCAGTGAGCTCTGGGTTCAAATTAGAGATCTCACCCCAATATATAAGGTGGAGAGTGATAGAGGAAAACACCCAACGTCAACCCCTGGTCTCCGCACATGCACACACAGGCACACGATCATTCACATACATATACACAGCAATAAAACTGAGCAATAAGAAAACAAATCATCCGATCAATAAATGGACTAATGAAATGAATAGACAGTTCACAAAGGAAGAAATACAAACGGCCCACTATCTTGTGAAAATAAAGTCCAAGCTCTCTAGCTGTCACAGAAATGCTTTACAGCCTGCTGTGCTGGTGCACACCTTTAATCCCAGCACTCGGGAGGCAGAGGCAGGTGGATTTCTGTGAGTTGAGGCCAGCCTGGTCTACATAGTGAGCTTCAGGATAGCCAGGGGTATGTAAAGAGACCCTGTTTCAAAACACACACAGAGAGAGAGAGAGAGAGAGAGAGAGAGAGAGAGAGAGAGAGAGAGAGAGAGAGCTGGGCATGGTGACACACACACACACACACACACACACACACACACACACACACACGCCTTTAATCCCAGAACTAGGGAGGCAGAGGCAGGCGGATCTCTGTGAGTTCGAGGCCCGCCTGGTCTACAAGAGCTAGTTCCAGGACAGCCTCCAAAACAATACAGAGAAACCCTGTCTCGAAAAAAAAAAAAAAAAAAAAAAAAGAGTGACTCCTTTTTTAGCAAGCAGGAGCTTTCAAGCCTCTGAAAGAATAGTAACTTTTGTCTAAATGCCTGACTTTAGGAAAGGGGCTTTCTTTGGGGATCACACACTCCATTATAGAATATTGCAGTTTCTTGTATGGCTTAATTAACCCAAATAGCTAAAGCTTAAAGTGAGCAAAGACAAAACTAGACAAATATTAATGTGAACCTGAGTAGACCTTAGGACTTTATAAATAGTGATTATCAAGTATACCTTGTTACTTATCTAAATTTTCTAGCAGCTTAAGGTTAACTTGTGTGGTAGTAACCAGAGTTGTCACGCTATATGGTCCCAGAGTGGTAGGAATTTTTTCCAAGGAGTTTTTTTGTTGTTGTTGTTCAGAAAGGCTGCCATTTGCATACATTGTCATCCTTAAAAACCTGCACAAATTTTCCTAAAGGGAAAGGCATAATAGTGAGGTTTATTAGAAATGAAAGAAAAAGGGTGCTGGAGATTGTGATACACAAGTCTGCAACACTGGAACTCTGTCAAGCAGCAATGGTTGCCGTGCATGCTGTCCACTCCATAAACTGGTCCCATCTCTGTGGAGGTTTTCAAAAACTAGAAACAGGGGCTGCAGTGATGGCTGCTCTTCTAGAGAACCGGGGTTCAGTTCCCAGCACCCACATGGTAGCTCGTACTGTCTATAACTTCAATTCTAAGGTAGATGATGCCCTCTTCTGACTTTTGCAGGCACAAGTAATGCACATGGTGCACACACATACATGTGGGCAAAACACTAGTACACATAAATTAAATAAATCAAAATTTTAATTTTTATATGATGTATTTTTATATTCTGATTATGTTCCTTCTTCTCCCTCAACTCCTCCCCAATTCCCTCTTACCTCCCTATCCGCCCAACTTTATGCTCTATCTCTGTTTAATTTTGCTGAGTTTTTTCTTCTCCTTTTTGAAAATTTATTCTTCTCCCATGTATTACATCCTTGCTGAAGTTTCCCCTCCCGCAACTCCTCCCAGTTCCTCCCATCTCCCCTCTCCCCCAGATCCACTCCTTCATTTCCAAAGTGCAGGCCTCTGAGGGACATCAGCTGAGCATGGCTTAACAAGTTGTGATGAGACTAGGCACAGACCCTCACATGAAGGTTAGACAAATCAACCCAGTGCGAGGAAGGGATCCCAAGAGCAGGCAAAAGCGTCAGAGACACTCACTGTTATGAGTCCCACAAGAACTCCAGGCTGTACAACCATAGTATATTTGCAGAGGACCTAGTTGCTGATCAGTCTCTGTGAGCCCCTGGGAGTCCTGCTTAGTTGACTCTTCGGGACACTGTTCTCATGGTAAACTGGACCCCTCTGGCCTGGCTCCTACAATCCTTCCTCCTCTTCGTCTGCTTGGTTCCCTGAGCTCTGCTCAGTGTTCGTCTGTGGTCTCTGTTTCTGCTCGCATCAGTTGCTGAATGAGACCTCTGATGACTATTTGGCTAGGCTCCAGTCTACGGGTTTAGCACAACATTATTAGGAATCATTTGATTGACTTTTTTTTTTGGCCAGTTAGTCATGTTTGGTTCTATCCAAAGTCTCTGGGCTACCCCGCCTCTTGTTCCTGGCCCTCCACGCAGAATCAGGCGTGGGCTACCACTCATGATGTGGGCCTGAAGTTGGACCAGTCATTTGACCACTCCAACAAGTTCTGCACCACCATTACCCCAGCACATCTTGGAGGCAGGACAAATTGTAGGTCAAAGGTTTTGTGGCTGGGGTGATGTCCCAGTCTCACCACCGGAAGCCTTGGTTTGGGCTCCACATCTCCTATTATGAGTCTTTGCTAGGGTCATCCTCATAGATTCCAAGGAGTTTCTTTTCTTTTCTTTTCTTTTCTTTTCTTTTTTTTTTTTTTTACTTTTTTGTTTGTTTGTTTTTTTCGAGACAGGGTTTCTCTGTATTGTTTTGGAGGTTTCCTGGAACTCACTCTGTAGACCAGGCTAGCCTTGAACTCACAGAGATCTGCCTGCCTCTGCCTCCCGAGTGCTGGGATTAAAGGCGTGCACCACCAACACCCGGCCCAGGGAGTTTCTATTGCACTGAGTTTCTGCACACCCCTAAAAAACTATGCGTGGTGGCACACACCTTTAATCCTAGGACTCAGGAGATAGGGGCAGGTAGATCTCTGAGAGTTCAAGGCCAGTCAGGGATATGTAGAAACACCCTGTCTCAAAAATAAAATAAAAAATAAACATACACACACACACACACAAATGAAAATTGAAAGAAGCAACAAAAAAAAAGAAGCCACATTAAAACAAAAAAATCCCACCCCCAAAAAAGAAGCACCACACACACAAAGAAACATCAAGTTTATTTTATGTTGGCTGTTTCTGGGCCTGTGCCTGTCCTGGATCACTCCGTAGAAGAAAACTTGCTTTCCTCTTGCCAGCAGGGATCAGTAGCAAAGAACTTGATTAGGAGTGGGACCCTGTGTTCACTCCCTCTCAGTGTTGGGACCCTACCTGGCTTGATAGTAAACAAACAAACAACTAGATAATAGATTACTGCATAGCCTAGCTGTACCACTCCTCAGCACTTCTGTCTGGAGGACACCAAGTCAACAGATTACATAGATACATACTCATCAGTCTTTATTGCAGCAATATTCACAATAGCTAAATTACAGACCCTTGGTGTCCAGCCACATAGGAATGAGTGAAAAGGTGTGATATATACAGATTTTTTTCAGCCATGAAGAAGGAAGTTATGTCATTTGTGGGAAAACAGATGCACCTGGTGTGAGAGCCAGTTACATTTGGTTTTGTTGTTGTTTTGCTGTGTTGTTGTTTTGGTTTGTTTTTTTTTTTTTTTTTGAGACAGGGTTTCTCAGTGTAGCTTTGGAGCTGGTATGTCAAAGCACTGTGTGTTAACAGTCATTTTGTTGCAGTTTTCATATATATATATATATATTTGGTTTTTCGATTGTTGCAGTTTTAGATGTAATTAAAGCCGAAATTCACCGCGTTCCTCCACAGAACCTAGGGACTGGGAGTCAAAATCTAAACCTAAACAGACTCCAGAAAGAAACTGAGGTCTAATAACCTTGATTTACACACAGAGAGACTAGTTTGCTCTCTCATACGGCAAAAGATTTCACAGACAAGCCATAACCTTTGCCTAGAGCGCGGTATTGCTTCACAGTTTGCTTCCCGACGCTACTCCCGCCTACCATGGGAAACCACACACCCCTAGAGGCCTGGCGGGCAGGGGGCGGAGTCGTTCTGTTGATTGGTTAGCTGCCGACCGGGACAGGCGGTGATTGGTCAGTTACCAGTCAGGCTTTGGGCTTTTAGGTTCAAACTCCGCCCGGACTGGCGGCGCTTCGGTAGAGACATGGCTGGGTCCAGTGTGGTCGCGCAAGTCTTGGCAGCTGCCCTTCTGCTTTTTCTCGCCATCGTCTTTGGATCTACGGTCCCTAGGAGTGGGGAAAGTTGGGGGTCGTCGCGGATCCCTTCCCAGTTCAGCGAGGAGGAGCGCGTCGCTATTAAGGAGGCGCTGAAAGGTGAACCTCCGCCCCCTTGTGCTCAGATGTGGGCGCTCAGTGCCCAGTCAGCCTGGGACAGTCTCCCTCTGCAAAAGGGACAGATCGCTCGTTGCGGCTTGAGTTCCACTCGCCACACTGAGCGAGCCCAGTCAGCGTTCCCGCACACGTCCCGGCACACGGTGCACGGTTCTAACACGTCCCTCGCGTCGGTGTCACCTTACCTACTCCAGCTTCTCTCCTCTCGGCATAGCCCGCTCCCACCCTACCCCTACCTGCCTCCAATAAGTGTTTGTAGCACTTTGAACCTCTCAAAGGTTTCATGGCTGTTAAATCTACTCAGTGTCTTAAAACTGATTAGTTTCGATAAATCATTTCCCAGGGCCCCCGGCAAGGGCTGGGCACTGGGTAGCAACTTTTTAGAGTCAGTGGGACTCCCTGGCTCTGAGAGGAATGAATTGTTCCTGGCGTGTATTATTTATCTAGTTGCCCCTTAATACGAGGACCTAACAAAGCACCCAACTCATTGTCCCGAGTTTGTACCATTCCGGAGGAAAGAGGAGCATTTGTGGGGGCCCGTGGGATGCTTTGTGAACGCCGTTCTCGACCCCTCTTTTCCTCTTTTCACTAGACAGTGGGTTAATAAAAACTGCATACGCAAACATGTGCAGGCCGACACAGGGACCAAATGCTAGCCTCTATGTGGGAGATGGATTGTGCATATTCTGGAGTGACAGGCCTGGGAAGAGCTTTCCCATCGTGCATATAGCCCTCTGCAAACTGGTGGGCTGCTGCAGTCCCTTTGCACACAAGAAAGCAAGAGCTTACCAAGACCTCATAGCATCATGGTGTAAACTCTCTAACAAGATGGAAAACATTGAAGTCCGGATGTTGGATCTGCTCTCTGATGGGCAGTTTAACCTGTTTGGATTTAAGATTCCCCATCTGGGTAGTAGGCTGTGGTGTGGTTAGTTGATCCTTAAATAGAAGTAATTGTGTCTTTCGGACAAAACCTAAGTGCTCTAAAATCCAAATTTTCTTAATGTCGTGTTAACCCTCAAAAATTTTTGAGTTTCAATTTTTCTGTCTTCTATTTGGGACAGTTTCCTGCTACCTCAGCCTAGGTTCAAAATTGCAGTCTTCTTGTTTTAGCCTCCAGGTGCTGGGATTAAAGGTGTGCACCACCACACCTGGCTGTTTCAGACTTTTATTTTTATTGGAAATATCCAACCTCTATCCACTTGAATCCTCCATCTCTGACTTGAATCTTGACAGGTGCCATCCAGATTCCCACAGTGTCTTTCAGCCATGAGGAATCCAACACCACAGCCCTGGCTGAGTTTGGAGAATACATTCGCAAAGGTCAGCTGTAAACCGCGGGCAAAGGGTGGCAGAGATACACCGGAGACCTTGTCCTTGACAAGGTGATAAGGAAATATATTTTGTCATGAATAGAAGACAGTCACATTCTCTCGGGGGGGGGGGTTGCTTTTTACTTTGTACATAGAATGTATAAAAGAGAGAACTCAAAAGTTACACCGTCGAGGGCAAAGTGAGGAGTGTAGACTTGCCTTTGAAGAACTGAGAATTAGCTATAGTTCTCTAAACATGCACCCATTAGTAAACCAGATCATTAGCAGGTAAAGCAGGTTCCTTCTCTTGTGCAGATGTCTAGAACTCTGACCCAGCACCTCCCACTCCCGCTACCATACCCCCATTCATGCAGCTTGCAAAGACACTCCACCTAGTGGGCTCCATTTACAGTAATTACTAACACATTCCTAAGCCTCTTGGCAGCCAGCATCCTTGACCTGTCCTATCATTCTCTCTCTTTATCCTTATGACTGTGGAACCCAAAGCTAGGGAGAATGGATTGGAGAGAGTGTTAGAATCTTCCTTAGTAAAAACAAACAACCTAATGGAGAATAGGGAGCCCCCCCTTTCAGAGTGTCAAAGTAAGCTGAGTAACAGGCTGAACCACACTCTTTAGGTTTCTTTTTTTTGCCGTGTGTGTGTGTGTGTGTGTGTGTGTGTGTGTGTGTGTGTGTGTGCACAGAAGAGTAAGTGGATTCTTCCCAGAAAGTCCAGGAGGGGATTATCTAGACCACCTGTATTAAGGCCTGCCTATAATGTGAGTAATCTTCCCTGAGGACATCCACACCTACATACAGAAATATGGTTATGGTCTCACAGAGCAGATTTTGTCTCCACAAAACACAACTAGTGAAAAATTGTATTTTCTTTCTTCATGGTAGCATTATGTATAGTGTGTGTGTGTGTGTGTGTGTGTGTATCCCTCAATTAGAAACAACCCAAATTTCATCACTTCATAAATGGTCCATTAAAGCAAAGTACAGGACCTGGAAGATGGCTCAGTGGTTAAGAGCACTGGCTGCCCTTGCAAAGAACCTGGGTTCCATTTTCCTGTATCCACATGATGGCTCACACCTGTCTGTACCTCCAGTTCCAGAGGACCCAGCAGCCTCTTTCCCTTCATGAGCACAGGCACAGGTGCACACATGTGGTTCACTGACACACAATCAGGCAAAACACATATCTATTTAAAAGAAAACAATAATAAAAGTAATAATAATAAACTTTTTTTGAGACAGGGTTTCTCTGTAGTCTTTTAGAGGCTGTCCTGTAGACCAGGCTGGCCTCGAACTCACAGAGATCCGCCTGCCTCTGCCTCCCGAGTGCTGGGATTAAAGGTGTGTGCCACCACTGCCTGGCAATAATAATAAACTTTAAAAAATATTACACACAGCTGTCTGTATCCATGGATTTCATGTGTGGGTTCAACCAACCTCTGATTGAAAATATTAAATAGATGGTGGCTCACATCTGTAGTCCCAGAACTTAGAAGGTTGAGGCAGAAGGATCATGGGTTCCTAAATGACGTCGTGAAAACATGTCTCAGAAAAGAAAAGAAAATCTTGCTGTCCTGAGTAGTTTCATGTCAGTTTGACCCAGGCTAAAGTCACATGAGAGAGGGAAACTCAATTGAGAAAATTCCTTCATTGGTTTGGGCTGTACGAAAGCCTGTGGGGCATTTTCTTAATTAGTAGTTGATGTGAGAGGGCCCAGCCATTGTGGCTTTAATCCCAGCATTCAGGAGGGAGCGGCTGGTGGATCTCTGAGTTCGAGGCCAGCCTGGTCTACAGAGCAAGTTCCAGGACACTCCAAAGTTAAAGAGAAACCCTGTCTTGAAAAACAAACAAACAAAAAAAGCAGGCTGAGCAAGTCAGTAAGCAGCCCCCCTCCATGGCCTCTGCATCAGCTCCTGCCTCCAGGTTCCTGCCCTGTTTGAGTTCCTGTCTTGACTTCCTTCAATGATGGACAGTGATGTGGAAGTGTCAGTCAAATGAACCCTTTCCTCCCCCAGTTGCTTTGCTCATGATGCCTCATCACAGCAATAGTAACTCTAACTAGATACTTGCATGTCTCTGTCTTCCCCCCACCACCCCCATCTGTTTTGCTTTTGAGACAGGGTCTTACTGTGTGGTCCAATAGCCTCCAACTCAGGTCCTTTCTCTTCTGCTTCCTGTAGGCACATGCCCATGTTGTTTTCTTAAAAGAAAAAAGAGCTTGCCGGGCGTTGGGGCGCACACCTTTAATCCCAGCACTCGGGAGGCAGAGGCAGGCTGATCTCTGTGAGTTCGAGGCCAGCCTGATCTACCAAGCAAGTTCCAGGACAAGCTCCAAAACAATACAGAGAAACCCTGTCTCGAAAAACCAAAAAAGAAAAAAGAGCTTAGGATGTTTTACATGATTATGCTTACCTCTGAGTGATTTGGATATTAGGAACTATTACATTCAAGTTTTAGCACAATAACACAATCCTCATCTATAAAGGTGTCAATATGTGATAGCATGTTAGGCTAGAATGAGCCAGATCTTGTGCTATTACCCAGTGGTGTGTGTGTGTGTGTGTGTGTGTGTGTGTGTGTGTGTGTGTGTGTGTGTGTGTGGTTGTTTTGCCTACGTGCATGTCTACACACTATGTGTGCAGTTCCCTCAGAGGCCATAAGAGGGCATCAGATATCCTTGGAACTTGAGTTACAGATGGTTATGGGTCTCCATTGTGGGTTCTGGGAATTGAATCTGGGTCCTCTGCAAGAGCAACTAATGCTCTTAACCTCTGAGCCATCTCTCCAGCTCTAATATCTAATGGTACAGTTTTAAATAGCTTATTAAAATAGGAGGGGTTTGATCCTGGAGGGAATGTCTATATGTGTATACATTATGTTACATATATGTTATAATGTACATACACACAGAGAGAGAAGAGGAATTTCAGAAACTGAATAGATGGAACAGAATGTATAACTGTAAAGAGCATTCATATTCAAAAAGTAGAGAAAGAAAGGAAGAGAAAGGACTTGGGAGCAAAAACTGGGAGGGGAACAGAAGGAAACTTGGCCCTGGCTTTCCCTGCTTCTCATCCCTTTGCCTTTCCTACAGTCTTCCCTACAGTGTTCCACAGCAGCTTTGTCCAGCATGAAGTCGTGGGAACGTATAGCCACCTGTTTACTGTCCAAGGCTCAGACTCCAGTTTGCAACCCTACCTGCTGATGGCTCACTTTGATGTGGTTCCTGCCCCTGAAGAAGGATGGGAGGTGCCCCCGTTCTCAGGCCTGGAACGTGACGGCTTCATCCATGGCCGGGGCACACTGGACAACAAAAATTCTGTGATGGTCTGAAATGCTATGCTTAATACCTGACTTAGGGTCCAAAGGTTACTCCGGGATGGGAGAATTTGGCTGACTTTGGGAGAGGAAGGAGGTTATGGTTGAAAGAATTGGCTGAAGTTGGGCAGTGGTGGCACATGCCTTTCATCTCAGCACTCAAAAGGTAGAGACAGACAGGCCTCTCTGAGTTCGGGAGGCCAGCCTGTCCTATAGAGCAAGTTCTAGGACAGCCAGGACTACACAGAAAAACCCTGTCTCAAAGAAACAGGAAGGAAGGAGGGAGGGAAGGAAGAGAAAAGTGGCTGTAGGAGCCTGAATGGTAGCTATTAGTTTTCTGGACCTTGACTTCTTAACCATGTAGAAATTGGAGGTAGATAATCCTCTGCATAGGGACCACTGGCAGTGATAAATGCATACTTCTCTCAGGTGGCAAGGGTTTTCTACAGTGCTCTGGACCCCCTGAAGTTGTTCTCTTTAAAACCAGACCACCAGATCTTTGTCCCACCCTCCCTGATGAATGACTCTGATACCCTACTTAAATAGTAAGCCTTTCTTCTCTTCTGAATCCTAGGCAATCCTGCAAGCCTTGGAGCTTCTGTTGATCAGAAACTATAGCCCCAAAAGATCTTTCTTCATAGCTTTGGGCCACGATGAAGAGGTAAGCTGTCTACCCAGAACCTGTCTCAGGGCCTCTTGGAGGTGGAGTACTTTACCCTAATCCTGTATGCCCATCAGCTGCAGGGACTCCTTGAGATTCTGTAGCTGTTTGCCAGTTTCTCTGTGTGTCTGTGTGCCAGCATTAAACTTCCTGGTAATATCCAAGGCAATCAGAGTCTGGCAATTCCATCCCAGGAAACCTACGTATGACAAAAAGAGAACTGAAGGTTTCATTCTCAGTGATGCTACTTGCTTTCAACCTGGCCCAACCTTTCGCTCTCTAGACCCCAGTTCCTTCATCTGTGAAATTAGAAGGACCCAGAGGGACTCAGACACTGGACAAGTCTGTGAGACAGAATAATCTCAGGCCATGCCCCATAAACAAAGACTAGGACGGAAGGGTCTGGAGTGACAAGCTGAGCAAGTCTACATTTGCTGTCTCTCTGTTTCTGACTAAGAAGGACTGTAGCTTTGGCTTCTCTGTCTACAGGTGTCAGGGACAAAGGGAGCTGTGAAGATCTCTGCACTCCTACAGGCGAGGGGTGTTCAGCTGGCCTTCCTTGTGGACGAAGGTAGCTTTATCTTGGAAGATTTTATTCCGAACGTCAAGAAGCCCTTTGCCATGTAAGTGAAGCATCCCACCTCCCTTCCTAAAGAGTTATCATCCATTTGAGAGCATCCAGCCTGACACCTGTAAGCCACACTCAGATATGGTCGCATCATTCACCCTCATCTCAGCATGTCCTGGGCTCCCCCGTCATGCCCTTCCTCCAGTGGTGAATTTCTCAAAACAGCATGAAGCTGACCTCCCAGACCAAACAGCCAGACCTTTATGCAGATGACCCTGTGGGTCTACGAAATGGTTCAGTGGGGAAGCGCTCTGGAGACTCATCTTTGACCCTCTCCCACAGGATCTCGGTCTCAGAGAAGGGTGCCCTTGATCTCATGCTGCAAGTAAACATGACTCCGAGCCACTCTTCAGCTCCCCCGAAGGAGACAAGCATTGGCATCCTCTCTGCCGCTGTCAGCCGGTAAGCAGCTCCTGGCTTCGCTCCCAGGACCACCTTGGATGGAAGACCTGGCACTCGCCCACTCTGAGACTGAAGAGCCGGCCTGCCTGTTCTTCCTGCCATAATGCTGGCCTGAGGAGCAGAGGTGCAGGCAGCAGGAGGGACAAAGCCACCAATACCAAGAACAGGACTGGGATCAAAAGATATTATCAGGCCAGCTAGAGGGCATGCAGGAGCCAGTAGACAAAAGCCAAACCAGAGAGCTGGCTAGTCCAGAGCACAGCCAAGCAGTTAGAATTACAAGTTGGCAGTGACTGGTAACGCTGTCTGAATTCTCCTACGGCTCTGGCAGGAGGACAAAGATAAATACGGGGCCCTGGCTGTGGATAAAGACCAAGGTTTGCAAGAACAACACTTACCTGTGTCTAGGTTCTCTTTGCAAGGTAAAAAGAAAGTGTGCTGGCTAGCTTTGTCAACTTGACACAAGCAAGAGTCATTGGGGAGGAAGAAGTCTCAACTGAGAAAATGCCTCCATAAGACAGGGCTGCAGGCAAGCCTGTGGGGGTGTTTTCTTTATTAGTAGTTGATGTGAGAGGGCCCAGCCCATTGTGGGTGGTGCCATCCCTGGACGGGTGGTCCTGGGTGCTATAAAGCAGGCTGAGCAAGCCACCGGGAGCAAGCCAGTAAGCAGCACCCCTCCATGGTCTTTGCATCAGTTCCTGACTCCAGGTTCCTGCCCTGTTTGAGTTCCTGTCCTGACTTCCTTCCGTGATGGACAGCAATATGGAAGTGTAAATCAAATTGACCTTTTCCTCCCCGAGTTGCTTTTTGGGCATTGTGTTTTCATCGTAGCAATAGTAACACTGACAGACGGAGAGCTGCTTTGTGCCAGGGACTACACTAAAAATTGAAATGGCCCCTGCCCTACGGAAGCCCCCGTTGGTTCATGAGACTGGCAGTCCTGCCACACTATGAGAGTGGACACGGGGCGAGAGGGGGGCAGAGCAAGAGACGGGCGTAGCTCTGACTTAACACGTGTGGCCAGCGAAGGCTCCTGCAGATGCTCCAGATCTTCAGCTGGGGTTGGTGGAGGTGGCAGGCAGGTGGATGACGGAGCAGGCTTATTGAGGCTTGCACCCATCTCCCTCATCTTGAGAATGCTGATCTTGGGTTGGGAGAGGCCTGGTCCTGAGAACTCTGTTTCTCTTCCAGACTGGAGCAGACACCAATGCCGAACATGTTTGGAAGTGGGCCGCTGAAGAAGGCACTGAAGCTGCTGGCAAACGAGGTGCGGGAGGAACGTTCCACGCTCCTGGCCAGCTTTGGAAGAGGAGCGGAAAGTGGGGGGAGAAGGAGCTGTGGAGTAGTGGGAGGGCTACTAGGTCACTCAGGTCTCCGCCCATTCTCACCTACTCCCAGCCAATGCTGAACCAAGAAGGGGCGTGTCATCGGAAGCTGATAGGACTTACCCAAGTCAGATATACCCATCCAGGTGGAAACTGCCTCACTCCAGCAGAGGCCCTGTTAGGCTGACCCTTCCCTCCTGCTGACCTTGTTCCTTCCCTTACAGTTTCCCTTCCCTGCCAATATAGCCTTGAGAAACCTGTGGCTGTTTCGGCCCATCGTAAGCAGGTAACTTGTTTTGTTTCCCCCTGTAAATCTCTCTCCCCGGATACCTGCCCCTTCCCCGTTTCTTGGCTTACCTGGCCTGACTAGTCATCCCTCAACCATAGATACTTCATGTTACTACCGTGTAGGCTGATGTCTCTCCCGGCCTTAAAGATCTCCAAGGTTTAGGACAGAGAGTGAAATTCCAAACCTCCTTCCTGATGTCTAACTGTAGTTAGTCTTTTTGCTTTATTTAGGCTAATGGAGAGGAATTACATAACCAATGCGCTGGTCAGAACCACCACAGCCCTCACCATTTTCAAGGCAGGAATCAAGGTAACATCATCCGGTCCTCCGGCTACATTTGCACTCCCGTCCCTTGGGGCTTTCCCTTCCTGCTGTAGCTACAGTGATGGGAGAGCCAGTGTCGTCCCTTGCCGCTGTGCTGTCATCAGTTGGTAAGCCTCAAGAGCAAAGGCTGCAGCGAAAAAGTCTACAGCCCATTGAGAGTGTGGTCACATGTGTCTGTGTGTGTGCAGAGGGGCACCTGTGCCCTGAATGTAGTCCCACGTGGTTTATACTTTCCTAGCACTTTGGTCATCAGACTAAACTCCTTTACCGTCCAAGGTCTCTATTTTTTGTCTACTCGATCACTTTTTTGTAGTGTTAATAGACCAAGCCTGTAGCCTTCTACCCGGTGGGTGCCCTGCCACAGAACAACAGCACCGGCCAAGTAGAGTCTTTTTAGAAAGTCTTTGTTTTAAAAGATTTATCCCCCGAACTAATGCAGTGAGTGGTTAATGTATGTACCCTTGGTTAAGCTCAAAGACACACTCACTTGCCACTCATAAAATCCATGATGTCTTTTCTCCAAATCTGCCTCAGTCAATATAATTTCAATATGAGTCTTACATTTGGATAAATAAGAATAGATAATTTGATAAGGTTTTATTCCATAAAGAAAGCATTTAGTTTTCAGTAAATTGACCCACTTGTGGTTATACTGTCTACTAAGGAGTCTCTTGCTAAAAGACAAAGCCTGGCCTACAAAAGGCTCAGGGCTTTGAAGAGAATTAGACCCACCCACAACCATCATTATCACCAGCACAACTTCAGGGGCCATTTTCCTGAAGTACAATATGATCTTGAACTATACTAATCTGGAAAACAAGATTGATTTGGGTTTGGCATTTTGTCTGTATACAGTATTTCACCATATAGCTCTTGCTGACCTAGAATTTGCTATGTAGACCAGATAGGCCTAAAAACCACAGATATCTACCTGCCTCTGTTTCCTGAGTGCCGGGATTAAAGGTAGCACCACCACACCCGGTCCCAAGTTTGATAGAAGTAATGCCTCTATATTTACTTCTGGCATAACAAACTGGAACCAACCCAGATTATCTCCACCAGCTGCTGCCCAGCTATTGTTTGATCACCAACGTATTGTGCTCTTGCATTTGACCTGTGGTTTTCTGTCCACGGAGGCTGGGGGATACTCCATTTGATTCTTCTAGAATTGCTCCAACTGCCAGCTGGAGAAGCAGAGGTGCAGAGAAGTAGCAGCTACTCAGGAATCACACCTCCAGTTTGCAATAGCCCAGCACGTTCCTGCCCCTGGTGCTGGCATCTTACCAGTTCAAAGAAAGATAAAAGAAATCTCTCTCATGACATCAAGGAAACATCCCTAGCCTGTCCTCTCCAACTAGCCAATAGGTTCAGACAAAAAAAAAATAGGTATACTTTATACCCAGACATGCACAACAACCACCACTACCATCCCTTCAGGAATGAGACACACGTATTATGGAGGAGACCCTTGAGACCCTAGGTGTTCCACCACAAGTAAGCACTAGTATAAAAGAAATGGCCAGGGTGTCCTGGGAACATGCACACAGAAGACTCCTGATGGCGCAACAGAGTTGTCCGGGCAGTCGCAGGGCAAGCAGTCCTGTTCTGAGCTGCTCTGTGAGCCCTCCAGGACCAAGAAGCACAAAGAGCTTGCCTAAAGCAGAGACCCTAAACGTGAATATAACAGCAGGTTATATTTACACGAGAAGGGACATGAGAAGACAAGGGCAGACTCTGGATTTAGCCCTGGCTCCTTAAGCCAGAGCAGTTGCTTCTCCTCCTCCTGGGTGGTAGCTGGTGTGCCCTGGGCAGGGGCCAGCTCTTGGAAGACACGAGGAGGGTTCAGACCAGGTTTCTGGTTCTCTGTCTAGGTGAATGTCATCCCCCCATTGGCTCAGGCTACAATCAACTTCCGAATTCACCCTTCGCAGACAGTCCATGAGGTATGTACTTATGTTCCAAAGAGCAGGAAGTAGGACCCTCGACACCTGGGGTTTGTTTTGTTTTGTTTTGTAAAAGCTCCTATACACCAACTGCATAGGATAGGAGATATCTGGTTTGGGGAAACTTGAAGTCTAAGGCTGAGACACAAAGACAAGTAAATGATAGTCATGATAGTAAGTCTTTCTTACTGCGTGCTTGCTGCATGCTTGACCATTCTGTGGTATACAGATGCATGCATTCACTCGTTAGCACTCACACCAGCCAGTTAAGGTAGGAGCTCTGCTGTCCTCACTCAGCTAAGGAAAGCTGGGGAGCAGAGCAAGTAGGCAGTGTGCCTGTGGGTACATATCCAACAGTCTGACTCCGGGGCTGCTGCTTTCTGCACCCTTTACTGCTGCCGTAATAATCCGGGGTGAACAGTCTCCCACAGGACACACTGCAAAGCCACCTAGAAGGTCAAAACAGCCCTTTTTTACTAATAGAAATTTGAGCTGGGTGTTAAAGGACCATTAAGATGTTGCTAAGAGTAAGATGTTAAGACAAAAAAAGAATAGGATAAATGAGAAAGTAGGGGAAGTTTGAGACTAGCCTAGGCTAGAGACCTTGCCTCAAAAACAACAGCAGCACATGTAAGCAATACTAAGTGAACTTGACTGGTTGTATATGTGTGCTGGGGGAGTGTGAGGTGTGGGGGTGGTGGGTGGGTGAGTGTGTAATACAATGATAATTAAGGAATAAGAGGTCATGAATTTGAGAAAGAGTGGGAGGTGTGCAATACTCATGAAATTCTCAGTAACAACAGAGCAAGTAGATCAGTGGAAAGCGGAATATGGGCTGGGGAAATGGCTCAGTGGTAGAGTGCCTGCCATGTAAGCCTGGGGACCTCAGTTCCCGGCACCCACAGAAAAGTCAGGTGAGCACTGCATCTCTTAACCCAGCCCTGGGGGAGCAGAGCGAGGATCCTTGGAGCTTGCTGGCTACCCAGTCAATCTAGCTGAATTGGTGAGACCTAAGTTCGGACCCTGTCCTAAAAACATAAGGTGGACTAGGAGGTGCATGCTTTTAACCCCAGTGCTTGGGAGACAGAGGCAGGTGAGTTCAAGGCCAGCCTGGTCTGTATGGCAAGCTGCAAGCCAGATGTCCTAGTCAATGTTCTGTTGCTGTGAAGAGACACTATGACCTCAACAACTCTTACAAAGGAAAGCATTTCATCGGGGCTAAGTCCATTCTCAACATGGCAGGGAACATGCAACCACACACACAGGCAGCCATGGTGCTGGAAAGGTAGCTGAGAGTTCTACATCTGGATCCGCAGGCAGCAGGAAGAGAGAGAGACACTAGGCCTGGCTTGGGCTTTTGAAATTTCAAAGCCCATCCCCAGTGACACACCTCCAACAAGGTCACCTCTCCTAATCCTTCTATGTAGTGCTATTCCCTGATGACTAAACATTCAAACATATGAGCCTATGGGGACCACTCTTCAAGCAATCACACAAGACAAAGCTACGTAGTGAGATTTTTTTTCTCAAAAATGAAATAAAAAGTAAGGCAGAGAACAAGAGAGAACTCACCCAACATTGACCTCTGATCTGTATATCACACATGCAGATACACAGGAACATACATACGCATGCCCGCACGCACACACACACACACACACACACACACACACTCAAAATGACAATAGCAACAACAAAAAAGAAAGCACCAAGAGGGCAAACCAGCAGCTGAGAGATGGTTAATACATTCTAGAATACAGTAGGGACTCTTGCCCATAGCCTGAAGGGTCAGACACACATGTTGGTTTTCAAGAGTTCTTCCCATGTAAGATTCAGCTGTCCCTGTGTCCCTGTGTAAGGAGGGAGGGATGCAGAAGTGGGCTAACAGCCTGCCTGGCCTGGGGAAGGGTCCTGAGTTCAGTGCGAATCCCTGATCGGCTGCTTTTCATCAGGTGCCAACCTTGTTCTCTCCCTGGAGGCTCATAGGATCAGGAAATCACTGAATTTAATCAGCTGAGCTTTCCACCTGTTTTTTTGTTTTGTTTTGTTTTTTTCCAGCACATTCTAGCTCCATCCTTTTCCAAAGTCTGTTTTCCACCCATTAGGGCTTTCATCTCCCTGGTCCTGGCACTTTCCCCTCCCAACCACAGGGCCTTCCCTCCTGGTCTATCTGATGGCGCTTCTGGAATCCCCTGGACTCAGCCTGGCCACCTGCCCGATGAGGGATGGAAAACCTCCATCCTTTAGAAAGCTCAGAGGGAGGGGCCCATTTGTCCTGGTCACTCCTCTTTCTTGTCCAGAGGCCACAAGCTCAGAGCTTCATTCTGGGTCCAGTGGGAACACCTGTGGGTACCACAGTTCTCCTCTTCTGTCCGCACCTGTTCTTCCCCACAATGTAGAGGTAGGTAGCTGGATGGACACGGACACACACACACACACGCACGCAGCTGGCTCACTCACTCACTAGGTGAGAGCCCTCCCATTATATCCCCAGCCCCTCCCCACTCTTTCCTACTTGGTTATTTTGAAACAGGACCTTACCAGGTTACCCCAGCCAGCCTTGAGCTTGTCATCCTCTAAAGTATCTAGAGTGTCAGGCCTGCACCCCTGGACCCAGGTAGACATTCTTCTAACTACTTGGGATAGTTGTGAGCCAGAAAGACAAGGTTCCCATTCTAATGGTATTTGTGGTCCAGTGAGAAGGGACAGCAGCAAGCAGTCAAATGAATGAAGAAGGTAGCGTAAGTGACTATAAAGATAATTGGCTGCCATTCCACACAGTGATTGTGAAGTGGCAGTGGGGACATAAGCAGAGTTAAATACAGGGACAGTGAATATTAGCTGGGTGTACTGACATATCTTTTTTTGGTTTTTCAAGAAAGGGTTTCTCAGTGTAGCCTTGGCTATCCTGAAACCCGATCTATAGACCAGGCTGTCCTGAATCTCACAGAGATCCACCTGCCTCTGCTTCCCAAGTGCTGGGATTAAAGGCGTGTGCCACCACCACCTTTTTTTTTTAAAGACAAGGTCTCACTATGTAGTCCCCACTGCTTGGAACTCACTGTAGATCAGGCTGGCCTTGGACTCACAGATCCTCCTGCCTCTGCCTCTGCCTCTGCTGGAAATGAAGCTATGCTCAGCCACACCCAGCCAGGAGAGGCCTTTACCCCTGCCCTCAGGAGGTTGATACCAGATAGTAAGTTACTGGCCACTCTGGTTATAGTAACTGTTTGTCTGTTTGTATAAAGACACACAACCCCTCCAGCAATAATTAGAGGCACAATAATGGGACTGGAAGGAGGGACTACCAATGGGGAGAGAGACCTCCAAGGTTGCTATAGAGATGTTGACTTTTAGTTCTCCATCTACAGTCCTTCTGGCACATTCCCACAGTCTGGTTTTCTCTTTTATGTGTAGCGATGTTATGTTTGTTGATGGTAAGAACATTGGCTATTTAAAACTTGGTCAGGTCTTCATGGTTATGAGTCCACCTTCCATCCAGCTCTGTAGGCTGCTTACCGGAAGACCCATGACAGGCTACTTACTGTCTTTTTTTTTTTTTTTTTTTTTTTTTTTGGTTTTTTGAGACAGGGTTTCTCTGCATTGTTTTGGAGGTTGTCCTGGAACTCACCCTGTAGACCAGGCTGGCCTCAAACTCACAAAGATCCGCCTGCCTCTGCCTCCCGAGTGCTGGGATTAAAGGCGTGCGCCAGCAATGCCCGGCCCGGCCCATTTTTTTTTTAGCATCCTGATTATGAGTATCTTCCTTATGAATTTGAGGCATGGCTTCCCGTAATACCTAACCCCATTCCCTTCTTCCATTCTGCACATACTGCACCGAGTGGAACATAATGCTAGACACGTCATAAGCATTAGAAGAATCTCAGCTCCTGGTATCACAGGCACAAACAGGCACAGAGAGGTCTGGGGGCTTGCCCAAAGGCACAGCAGCACTGTGAGGAATTATCCCGAGCGCAACACTCTTGTCATGGCTCTTTTTTTATTTTTTGTGTTTGTTGCCCATCCCTCTCCACCTTAGGAATACCTGTTTGCCTCTTCTCTACCAGGACCGTATCCTCTCTTCAGACCCGAAATTCCTGACTCCAAACTGCACACCTAAGATGAATGCTTTTCTGAGCCGCACCTCCTCTTCCGGTTGGACTCAGTAAAGCACCATCCTTAGGTAGTCCAACAGACACTCAGCCCAGCACTTCTAACTGTATACGACGGGCAAGGTACCTAGGGGAACAGTGCCTGTTATCGTTTCTGTTGGTTCTTATCCCTTACAGCTAAAGTAGCCAGCATTTATTACTTCTTACTTGCTCACTACTCTAGATAAGGGAATGAGGCTGACACAGTCCCTGCCTTTGAAGCAGGCCCCACCTCTCACTAAACAGAGCCAGTTGTCATATGGCCTTCAGTTTCCAGATGCAGAAAGCTCTGCAGGGACCCAAGCAAGACACAGCAGGCACAGTCCCTATCTACTGCATAGGTGGTGACCCAGGAGCCTTTTCCTGGGTAAAGCGATGTGTGAAGACTACAGATACTTTTACTAAGGTACTGGGGCTTGAACCTAGGGCCTTATGCATGGTAGGCAAGCATTCTGCCATTGAGCCATACCCACGGTGAATTTGGTATTGACAGTGTTGGGGGTACTAGTGATAGGGTGATTAAAAATGAGTTCTTATAATCTTCATCCATTCCCCATGGGCATTTGCTTTGATTCTGATGGAGTTTCTAAGCTAGAGGTGGGAGCCTTCACTGTCTCCTCCCCCGGTTTCATCTCTGCCACCCTTCTAGGGGCCATTGGCCTAAAATGAGCACTCCAAATAATGCCCCCGTTCTGGTGATTGCCAGCTGTGCAACCCAGCCCTTCCCAGGCAGAAGCAGCTTCAAACTAATAAGCACTGGTCAAATGGTTGATATTGAGCTTTCCCTTGTGGAGCTGACTAGGTTGGGGGGACCACTGTAATGCTCCTGGTCTGTTCTCTCAAGTGACCTGAGCCTCCGGGTCTGGTCTGTATCCTTCCTGGAACCAGGGATTTCATTGGATTTCCCCCTAGTCACCTCAGGCTCGATTTTCTGGGAATTTCCTCATAGTCTTTCTCAATAAAAAGAGGCAAAGGGAAAACCTCCAGTCACGGCACCACACTCCTGACTTTGTGTGCATGCTGAGCTCATCTTTCTGGCTCAGTGTATTTGGTTACAAATAGGTAACAGCTCGAGAGGAGAAAGAAAACTGTGTGGTAAGGTCTTTTGCAACCTGTGTCACCACCCCAAGGCTGTCTCTCAGGTTGGAACAGGATCATCCTATTGAGACAGCTGAGATTCTCATCCTAGTATCTCTGATACTTTACCTAATCCCATGGCTCACAACCCAGGGTGGGTGGGGGGACCACAACACAAGTTCCGGATTATCCAATTCCCCGTCTGACTTAGAGCTGTAACACAATCCTCCCAAACGCTTAGCTGAATTCTGCCATGCTTTCTAGGAAATGCCAGCTCTTACATCACTCACAGCCAGGCAGTAAAAGTTGGGGTCCCACTGCAAAAACAAACATTCTTTTCTCTAAACTCCAGAGTGCTACCTGCTAAAACAAAAGATCTGAGTTTGGTGCTTAGATAGCAGGTCAATGCAACTGTAACCGTCTTGGTTTCCTCCCTGAAGGTCCTGGAGCTTGTCAAGAACATCGTGGCTGATGACCGAGTCCAGTTGCATGTGCTGAGATCTTTTGATCCCCTTCCTGTCAGCCCCTCTGATGAGCACGCCATGGGCTACCAGCTGCTTCAACAGACCATACGTTCTGTCTTCCCGGAAGTCAATATTGTTGTCCCCGGTAATGACTTCATCAGCTGTGGCTTGTGGGTGGTGGTGACTGGAACAGCTTCCCATCTGATGTCCCTTTCCCTACCCCCAGCCCAGCCACTCATCCTGGAAACAGCTGGCTGCTTCTGTCCCTGGAACTGTATTTTCCCCCGGGGTGGAAGTGAGAAAGGAAACAGGAAAAGGACAGAAACAATAAATTAGGTCAGCTGAGGATGGGTCCTTGCATAACCTAGGGCAGCAGGGTTGTGTGTCCCTCTGACACAGAGGAGGGGTTGGCTTAGAATATACATCTCCCAGAGGGGTTACCTCGCCACCATCCTAGGATACCAGCTGAGCAGCAGGACTCAGAATGACAGTCCAGAAAAGCCTCTGAGTCCACGCCATTCAAACGCCTCTCCTCAGCCTAGTATCCCTCGTATCCCTGTGCATTTCTCCCACCTTCTAGAACACCATCTAAACCTGGCAGTGGTTCTCCCAGGGAACTTCATAAAATGTAGAACACCCAGACCCACTCATATATTCCAGCTGGAATCTGCCTTTTTGAAAGATAATCCCAGAGGACTTTTGGCATAGTGATACCTGAGCAGTTTCCAAATCATCTCTGGTCTCCACGTGTGGGCATGTTCTAATGTGAAAGCCCGTGCCCAGTTCCTTCTCGGTAGGTTTACTTGTGGCTTTCTATGAACATCTAGGAACCCTGGCTCTCACAGCCCATATCCTCTTTCAGCCTTAAGGGCTCTCTCCACCTTATCATTGCCACTGGCCACAATCCCATCAGTAGGGTCAGACGGCAAACACAGTGGAAAAAATCAACAGGAAGAAATCCACATAGCATAGAATTAGACCCTGGTACCCACTTGAGATGAGAAGCAGAAAATAGAACAAAACACAAAAATACCATCTTGAGCTGTCTCACCACACTTGAACTGATGCTGGGAATGTCTTTTCCTAGAGGTCGTACCTATCCCAGGACAAATCCCAGTCCAGCTGAGCAACCTATCCTTTGGGAAAGTAGGAGACTAGGAGGAGTTTCCTAGGACTTTCCCATCTGAGCTTTGCCTCCCAGAAAATGAGACCAGCAGAACATCCTGACCCATGAGGAGGGATGTGTTCTACTTCAGCAAAATGCCCTTACAGTTGTTTACTTCTGTCCTAAGTGATACAAAATACAGGTCAAGTGATCTCTAAACTCTTGATTTCTCAAACAGCAAATGGCCTTGACTGTGGGGGTAAAATGAAAGCCTCTCTGGTCATCATGGGACGAGAACAACTTAGCTTTGGACCACTCAGGGCTATCTCACCAGTGCTTCTAGGAAATTCCACGTTCCTGGTTAAAGTTACAGTTTTTGTAAGGATTGGAAAAGACACACCTTAAACGATTTTAAAAAATGCCCTAGGTGCTGGGTGTTGCATGCCTTTAGTCCCAGCACTCAGGAGGCAGAGGCAGGCAGATCTCTGTGAGTTCAAGACCAACCTGGTCTACAGAGTGAGTTCCACAACAGTCAGAGCTACCCAGAGAAACCCTGTCTTGGGAGAACAGGGGAGCAGTGAAGGTGGGGGGGCAGTCATAGGCAGATGCTCTTAGGAAGTCCCAGAAATCACTCTACAGTGACCCAAGTTCCTCATTGGCTTCCAGTCAGTCACCCAGCTAGCTTCTCCTATGTCACTGACGAGGTGGCTTGCATAAAGCCCATTTTTCTTTTACTCCTCCCCTTCTAGGTATTTGTATTGGCAATACAGACAGCCGACACTATACCAACCTCACCAATGGCATCTATCTGTTCAATCCCGTTTTCCTGCAGTCTCGGGACTTCAGTAGGTATGTGGAATGGGGTTAGGCAGCAAGGTGGAGAGGAGATGTATCGGAAGTGTCCCTCACATTTGGGTGACTTACAGAATAGAGAGAGGAGCCAGATTTTGACAAATCAAAGAGATCCTAGAATCCAGATCGGAATCATGGCTCCAGGAATTGTGGTGATAACCCCCATGCACACTCCTCTTTTAAAAAATGGAGAAAATCAGGTGACTGGTGAGAACTTGTTGAAAATAAGATCCTTGGGTAAAACTGGATGTAGTAGCCTATAATCCTAGCACTTAAGAGACTGAGTCAGGAGGATGGCCATTTTTTAATATTATTTTATATGAGTGTTTTGTCTGCATGTACAGCTGCACACCATTTGCATGCATTGTTTTTAGGGGCCAGAAGGGGGCACCTCAGAACAGATAGTTGTGAACCACCATGTGGGTGCTGGGACTAAAACTCAGGTCCTCTGGAAGAGCAGATAGTGCTCTTAACTGCTGGGCTATCTCTCCAGCCCCATCGATTGACAAACTTAAATCCAGCTTGGACTATGTAGCAAAACCATGTGTAGGAAGGAAGGAGGGAGGGAGGAGGAACCCCCTAAGGGGTTTCCCACTTTGAGAGAAAACTCACCCCTGAACCTCACTTCCTCCACCTATAAAATACAGAGACCCTCCAACATTCTTGGGTAAGAAAACACACATGAGTTCAAAGGTAGGCATGTTAGTTGGCCTTCTCGTAAGAAATACTATGAAAATCCAAAATGTGAGTGCCAATATTAACTGTCATGTGTGACTATTCTGTGATTTTGCAGCAAATTTTGGCTCAAAGTTGGGAAGATAATTTCCATTTAGCCTTCTGCAGTCTGTTATATCAGACCTGATTTCTTCACCACACCACAAGTCAGTTGAAACAGAATGAAAGTGTTTGAATGTGATCTTAAGAGTAACTCTCATGGCGGGGCACATGCCTTTGATCCCAGAGCTTGGGAGGCAGAGGCAGGTGGATCTCTGTGAGTTCCAGGCCAGCCTGGTCTACTTTAGCAAGCTTCTGAAGAACCTTAGGACGACATAGAGAGACCCTGTCTCAAAAACAAAAATCATAGTATTTATGTTTGGGGTTTGTTAAAATGGGGGTAAATGGCCCCTCTGTTTCCTATCGTCTTTGCACTTTGGGGGTGAGCATGAGATCTGGTAGCCATGATCCAAGACAGAGCTTGGAGTGGTGCTCTAGACTGTTGCCTTCCTGCCTTCCCTTACCCATGGTGAGCAAAACCTTAGGGAAAACTCTAGCAAGAGACTGTAAAAAAAAAAAAAAAAAAAAAAAAAAGAATAAACGGACCTCAGAACAGAAGACTGGGTGAACTCCTCAGGACAGAAGACTGGGTGAACTCCTCAGAACAGAAGACTGGGTGAACTCCTCAGGACAGAAGACTGAGTGAACTCCTCAGGACAGAAGACTGGGTGAACTCCTCAGGACAGAAGACTGGGTGAACTCCTCAGAACAGAAGACTGGGTGAACTCCTCAGAACAGAAGACTGGGTGAACTCCTCAGGACAGAAGACTGAGTGAACTCCTCAGGACAGAAGACTGGGTGAACTCCTCAGGACAGAAGACTGGGTGAACTCCTCAGAACAGAAGACTGGGTGAACTCCTCAGGACAGAAGACTGAGTGAACTCCTCAGGACAGAAGACTGGGTGAACTCCTCAGGACAGAAGACTGGGTGAACTCCTCAGGAGTTTATTCATTGCTTTCCTCACTGTTCTCGTGCATGAGCGCAGGTCCTTGGGAAATAGGCAGTGTGTGACACTCAAGCTGACAATGACTTTTCTCTCCTTGTCCCCATGGAGACCCAAAGATCAGTCATATCAGGGGGTGAGGGGTGGGGGCAGGAAGGGTGTTCTGTGACAGCTCTTGTACTACCGCATTTGACCCTTATCTCCTGCCCCCAAATGCTTCTTCCCGCAGTATCCATGGAATCAATGAGAAAATCTCAGTCCAGAACTACGAGAACCAGGTGAAGTTCATGTTTGAGTTGATCCAGAACGCTGATACCTACAAGGAGCCAGTTCCCCATCAGCATGAACTATGAAGCGAGGATTCAGCCGGGTGAGGGGTGCCCAGCACTGGGCCAGGACTCACCTGGAGAGAGAGAGAGAGCATTGATGAAAGGTTTGGTGGAAACCACCTTGTAACGGAGAGTTCATCTGCCTGGCTCCCTCTCCACTCACCACAGAACAAGCTCCAAGGAGGAAGAGAAGATGATCAGAATCTGGCTTGTCAGCCAGGTGTTGGTGGCGAACACCTTTAATCCCAACATTCGGGAGGCAGAGGCAGGCTGGTCTTCAGAGCAAGTTCCAGGACAGCCAGAGCTACACACAGAGAAACCCTGTCTCAAAAAAAAAAGAAAGAAAGAAAGAAGGAATCTGACCTGTTACTTCCCATGTCTGCATGTCTGTACTCCTCCCCTGAGTGGCCTCTACTTCCTTCTGTCCTGCCTTAGAAGGCGTTGGCCTGTCTCATGCTGGTTGTTTAACTAGTCGGCTTTCCCAGCCTGTCTTAGCAAATGCAGGCTTTATCTAGCTAGAGTGTTAACTTAGGGCACCTGAGCGAGACTCTTCTAGAATTCCTTTTCTCCTGCCACCCGCTCTCTTCTTGGACTTGAGAGCTGCCTCCCCTACCCCTGCCTCCTCCCTCCACTTCCGGATATACCCCACATCTGGAGTAAGACTCCATCAAACTGAGGAGCTCCCACCACACAATCGGTCAGATGAAGGGGTCTCTGACAGGTGAGCCTGCAGTGGAAACGCTGAGGGAACCCAGAACCCCTGGTTCCACAGGCCGGGACCTGGGAAAGTGAGCCACTATTCCTTGGGCTTCTGGAACTTTGCTCCCTTCCCTGCCCTGTTCCTGTCACCTGCTGTTGCTGCCCCACCCCAGGAGGCACTAATCTGTAGAAACATTTCCCTGGCACAGCCTGTGGGCTGAGCTTCCAAGAGAGGAACTCAAGATCCAGCCTCATACTGGAGCCCAGAACCAGCAGAGCTGTGGACTGGCACCATGTCCTATTTCAGAGTGACCAAGGGAAAGTAGGGGAGCAAGGTCACTAGAGGCAAGAGAGGCAAGGGGAGGTAGCCTCCATTAGAGGATAGCAGAGCTCCTGCCTTCTCTCTGGACTCCAACCCTAGGCATATTTGGTTCTGCCCAGTAGCTGCAGGTGGGGGGCATTGGAAAGCAGCAGTCTTGACTCAGGGCCAGGATTTGTGCTTTGTGAATCACAGGGGAGTCGAGGTCACAAGGGGAGACTCAGAAGTGGGACTTAAAAGACTCCCTCTTTTTCCCTCTCCGAGCGAGGCCCTTCCATGTCTCCTAAGGGTTTGCTGGCACTGGCTTTCCTTGCCCCCTCCTCAGAACCCCCATTCTCCCTCAGTCCGGAGTCCTTACCTTCCTCCTGTGGAGGTGAACTGTTCCTTGCAGCTCTTGGCTTAATTGTTAATGTTAGAAACAGTGTGGGAATTATTCAAGCTTTTTTTGCTACTCCTGCTAAGATTCACATTCCTTCCCTCACTCTCCCTTTTTGGCCAATTCAGTACTTATTCAGCCTTTGTTGTAGGGCAAGCTTAAGAACAAAAATAATCCTTCACATTTGTGCAGAGCCCTACCAACTCGTTTCCTACACCTTATCTCAGCCCTGTGAATATGCTATTGTCACTCCTTCCACAGCGATAGACTTGATTCTGAGTGGGTTACACATTTAGCTGGAAACAGTTGCTTGAACCCATGTTTCCTGGCTCCCAAACCCACCATTATTCTCTGACCCTGGATCACCTACTCCCCACTGATTTTCTATTTAATTCTCATAACAACTACTGGGGTGTGAGTGTGCCCCCACATCTGTATGCTGTAAACTCAATCATGTGAGAAAAGTATTCCGAGGGAGGAAACAACCAGCTACCATCCGCCTTTGTGGATGGGGCTGTTAGGATTAGACAAGGCCGTCACAGTTGAGCCTCATCCTTGACTTTTGGTGGCTTTTTTCAGAGAAGCTAAGACACATTTGATCTGATTTGGACATCCCACCGTGAATACATGTGTTACTATATCACACAGTACCCCATTAAAAGAGGGAGGAACCAGAAGACAGAAAAGGTCATGCATGCATTCCCTGCATCTTGCCGTGTGATGTCCTATGCTGTCTCTCCAGCAAGAAGACCTCCACTGGGGCAAACCGTGCTCCCCGCATGATCTTAAAGCTCCAGGGCTGTGAGCCAAAATAAACCTCCCCTCTTTATAACTCAACTCAGTTTGCAGTATTGTGTCTTTGGAAACAGAGCAGCACAGCTCCTATGCGCTATTGCTTCATGTTATAGATGGAGTCCCAGGTTTACAGATTTCAAGGTCACACAGGTGTTGAATCCGAAGTCTATGCTAATAGTTCTGAAGAGAAAACAGACTGCCCCAAAGCCCAAGGTGACAGGATGCTTAAGGGACTGTTCTAGAACCAAAAGGAGCTCCAGATTCCCCAAGTCCTGCCTCCCCCCAGACCCTGTGGGGTTTGACTTCTTCAGTGGCCCAGGGAGATGCAGAGAACAAAGGCTCCTCCGTCTGGAGGTCTGGAGTTTCCCTGGCTGGACTCTCCTGTCACACTCTCCCGGTGTCTGCCAGCATTTCTTCCTGCCCTCCTCTCACTCCCCAGGCTCAGCTCTCTAATGAACATAGGGTGACTGGGAGGACATGGCAGGGAGTTTGTCCCCAGCTTTAAAAAACAAACTTTCTGAAAACCCCATGGGAAGAAAGGGCCGGGAGAGGGAAAGGCCGGGGCTCCCTGAGAGAATGCATGCCGGAGCAGAGGCCCTGCAGGCTCCTGCAGGAGATGGCTCAAAGTGTTAGCTAGCTTGGCTAGAGTTTGACTCTATGTAGGTGGATAGTAAGTCTGGGGCATTCCTCCAACCCTACCCGTCCACCAGTTCCCAAATTCACCTTGAAAGAGACCCAGCATACATTCACTACATACATATCTGCTGACCCTAACCAAGACATAGCTCAAGCTTTCTGCTTAGATCTCACTTCGTTCCTGCCTAAATGGGAAGGAAGACAAAATATGTGTCGGGAAAGGTAAGTGAGTAAAATTGGGCTATGATCCTTGATTGTGAGTTTTGAGCTAAAAATAGTATTTTTATTTTTGAGACAGGGTCTCACTATGTAGCTCTGACTGTCCTGGAACTTGCTATGTAGACCAGGATGGCCTAAAACTCACAAGGCTCCTCCTCCTGCCTCTGCCTCCTGAATGCTGGGATTAAAGGTGTGCTCCACCACCTCTGACTTAGTGTCCTTTTCTTTCAGTAAGAGCTGAACATTTCATGAAATGTTTTTGAAAACATTTAAGTGAAATGAAACAACTTGAAATTCTTGTGTTTGATGTCCAGCACACTGTCAATAATTAAATTGTCCCTTTACATATGTTACTTTTAGATCTGCAAATAAAATATTTCAGAATTGAAGAAAATATTTAATACTAAGAAATGTTATTTGGTCATTCTGCAATGTTGTAAATGCTACACTAACTCATGGGTACCCCAAACCAGGGATTAGAACTCGAAGAACATCAAGAAAATGGATGTTCAGTACTACTGACAAATAGCATCACACAAGGATCATTGCCCTCTTTCTACCCAAGGGGAGGATATGACAGGCTTTCCTTTGTCTTTTTGTCCTAAGCATTTTGACAACTCAGTTCTTCCTTGTACTCCAAATTCATGCCTGCCTCTAGTTCACAACAACCCACTAGCCTTTAGGACAGCCAGGAATCACTTTTTCTGATGGAGGACATGCTTGATTTGGCAAACACATACATCAAACTTGGAAGGAAACAAGGATTAGTGTGTCTCCCACCCACCCCACAAGGATGGCATGGGAATTTGTAAGGTGTTCCATATTTTTAAAATTCATTTTCCTTTATTTTTATGTGTTTAGTCATTTAGCATCTGTGAATGCTTGTGCACTACATGTATGCAGTGCCTTCAGAGGCCAGAGGAAGACACCAGATCCCCTGGTACTGGAGTTATAGATGGTTATGAACCACAATTTAGGTGCTGGGAATCAAACTCTGGTCCTCTGGAAGAGCAGCCAAGTGCTCTTAACCTCTGAGCCATCTCTCCACCCCCTTATATTTTTAATGTATACCTACTTCAAAACATTACAAGATAGACCAAAATGTACACTGTTTTAATTTATCAATTTAAACAAACACTTAGAGCAAGATAGACATGTGTTTCCTGGGAACCTAATCTCTCAGGGATGTGTATGCTCAGGGCTACTAGCTGCTCCATCAGCACCGAACAGCAAATGCCAAGAGACAGAGTGTTAGACACATCAGGGCTACGATATACAGTTCGTTCTAAAGCCAAAAGCCCAGGTCAGGTGTTTCTGTTGCCCAAGTGTCAGAGATACAAAGTCTTATTCTATATGTGTCTTGGTGTCTAGTTTGGGAAATGGACCACCATGGTGAAGAAATCGCTATTGCAGCTGAGACTTCAGAGTCGAATGAGAGCTAGACGAAGAACGGAGAGTGCTCTCTAAGACGATGAAGCAGATGGGCAGAAAGAAAGCTGAATGATGTCATCTTGGGCCTTTTAAGTCAAGGGAGGGAAAGAAGCACAGCCAAGACCCTTTTGTGGGTCCTGTCTACTTTGTTCCTTCTTTCTACTTGTACAGAATTTACTACCAGGCACTGTGACGTATAAAGGCTCGGTGCTAATATAATTAGCCTATGAAGGAAGCAGTTGCAGGGTAACAGGTGGAAAGCAGAGGCAGTGAAATGGAAAAAGATATGTAAAGGTAAAAGTTGTTAGTCATTAGGGAAATGCAAATTAAAAAACTACGGTGAGCTACCACTTTATATTCACCAGGTTGGCTGCAATCAAAAAAAAGTGGAAAATAACAAATGTTGGCAAGGATGTAGAGAAGTTGGAAACCTTGTGCATTCGCTGGTGGGAATGTGAAATGGTGCAGCAGCTGTGGAGTCAGCTGTGGAAATGGTTGGTGTTTCCTCCAAGGTTAAACAGAGTTGCCATATTACTCTGTAATACCCCTTCAAAGTGTGCGGTCAAGAGAAATGAAAACAACAGGTGTTCAAATACCTTTTTGTTGACCCCACCCCCAAATGATATCACAGAAAAAATTTTTTTGGTTTTTTGAGACAGGGTTTCTCTGTGGCTTTGGAGGCTGTCCTGGAACTAGCTCTTGTAGACCAGGCTGGCCTCGAACTCACAGAGATCCGCCTGCCTCTGCCTCCCAAGTGCTGGGATTAAAGGCGTGCACCACCAAAAAATGTTAATGTATACAATTTAAAATATGTACATGTCTATGCTCAAAGGCTTTGTAATGTAGATTGGAAAACAAAACAAATATAATAAAACAAGACATTCATGGGCCAGCAAGGTGGCTTAGTGGGTAGAAAGTGTTTGCTGCCAAGCTTTACCACCAGAGTTCAGTCCCCAGGACCTACATAGTGGAATGAGAAAATTAAATCCCACAATAATTCTCTGGCCTCCATGTACACACATATTAAATTTATTTTTTAAAAGGAATTCATGGAGCTGGAGGTATAGCTCAGTAATAGAGAGTTTGCCTGGCATGCATGGAGCCCTGGGTTCTATCCCCAGCAACTGAGAGAGGAGGCGGGGGGGGGGGGGGGGGATGAAGACGAAATATGTGTGACAGAAATCTTGACCTGTGTGAGCGGCCGTCTCATCTCACATCTATTCTCTTCCACCTGCACCCAGTCACAGGCTCAACACTGTCCTTTGCATAGGCCACATTCTCCCGTCTGCCTACCTGTCATTGCAGTCTTCCTTTTAACCAGAATTATCTCCCTCCCCATCCCCCCATCCCCCCCTTTCAATTATTCTAGACAGTCACTTAGGACTGAAAATGCTTGGTCATGTGGAAATTCTGTGCTTAACTTTGAGAAAACACCACGTGTTCACTACAGAAGCCAAAACCATTTTACCTTCCTGGCAGTAATGTACACTGACAGGTGTTATTTTCGGGGTTTTGTTTCTCCAACACTACCTATGTGACCGATGTAGCAGATGCAACATGTTATCTTGTGGTTTGGATTTGCATTTCCCTAATGACTAACTTCAATTACTTTTTTAATCTATCTGTCTTGTTTTCAATGCACTGACTCCATTTTCTAATCTTTAGACTGCAGCAAACACCTTCGCAGTGTGATTACTAAGAGCAAATGAATTTTCATAGGAACCTACACTGTCAGGTTTAGTCAGAGCTCCACTGTGTCACTGAAGACTTTCTGAGCTTGGCTGAGCCTTCGCAGGCAAAGGCAGGTCAGTCTCCTGTAAAAGGATGTTTCTAGGAAAGCTCCCTGGAGAATCTAATATGAAGTCAAGACTGAGAGCCACCAGGCAAGGGTTAACTAGGTCCAAACTAGTCAGTTCATAAGTGTTACCTCGGGTACGTTATAAGAATAGATTTTTTTTCTTGTCTGTCTTCCCAAAGTTATGTAAGCGAATTTTTCAGGAAGTCAGAATTTTGAAACAAGTGCCCATCGGTGATTCCTATGAACAGGCCAGTTTAGTATCTAAAGATAAATGAGCAAAGGAGAATAATTCAGAGGATAGTTTGAAAGTAGATAATATGCTTTGCAGGATATATTCTTCTCAAATGCTGGCTCTTTTTTGTTTGTTTTGTTTTGAGGTAGGGTTTCTCTGGGTAGCTCTGGCTGTCCTGGAACTATCTCCGTAGACCAGGCTGGCCTCGAACTTACAGAGATGCACTTGCCTCTGCCTCCCAAGTCCTGGGACTAAAGGTGTTCGCCATCACCGCCCTGCTCAAATGCTAGCTCTTACAAAATGGCGTTTTCAGTCTCTGGCTTGTGAGCCACTGAAGGAACACTGTCCCACTTGCTCCGTGTCAGTGCCTTTATTCTGAGACTGCCCATGCTTAACTCTTTGCACTCTGCGACATTTAGATTTCAACATGAAGCTCAGAGAATGTGCGCTGACCCTTCCTGATGTCTCATGCTTGGTTTTGCCTCTTCCTTTTTTGGTGAAATCAGAACAGTCCTACTGTGTGAGAAAATTTCCCAAATGCAATGTGACCACCAATTCGCAGTCTCTGAGAGAGGCAGTCCTGTCTCCCCATGAGAGATGTGGCTCAGAGATAAAACGGTGCTCACTCCCGGCCACACACCTAACGTGCAGCTAAGCGTGATTCAACCCATGTAATTTCAGGCACATTCCACCCTGGCACACTGCTTTAGTGATAGCACGGCCTCCTGTTACAGTTCACTGGACAACTTTGCCTGCTGCTGTTCACCCAGCTGTGCCCAATAAAATGCTGGAAAATACCTTGAATTCTTCTGCTTGAAGAAATTCCAGTGTGGGCATCAAGGAGGATTTGGGAACCCAGAGTTCAGTTAGAGAGAAGCCAAGGCAAAGGTGACAGCACCTAGCCCTGAGGACAGATGTCCATACTTCCCCATACCACCCACATCCCTACATCCTTTTAGAGCTGAATGGAGCCGGAAGGTGATATCACCTCAGCTCCAGGGGACAGGAAAGAAGTTGACCTCTGGGAGGGTGGCAGTAGGGGGAAAAATGGGAGGGGGCACACAGGCTCAGAAAAACAAAAGCCAGGAAACTTTCCAGCCATGCTGAGCTAGTCTTGTGACCATGGCATAGGGGCCAGGGACTCTGGAATTTTGTGATGCTTCAGAATGACTTTAAAAGTTGGTCTTGAAGGAGCCCTTAGTGGTCAGCAGCTGTACCTGAAGGAAGCATGAGGTGTGGAGAACCACGGAACAGAAGGCTGAATGAACTGTCTATTAGGACAAGTGCCAAGCAACACTGGAAAAGGCTACTCCAAGAAGCCGCCCCCTTGTGGGCTCTTCATAGGAGCCTCACTGTTTCCCCTGTAAATGTTCCCATGCCCCCCAAGGAAACTCTGTGTCTCCCACACAAGTGCCATCACACTTCTCTTCAACTAAGCCACTGCCTCTGGACCAATGCCACTTTGCTTCTCTAGGACTTCACTCAGCAGAGGACACTGTGAGTTTACTACAGCATTAAGAGGACAGTTTCCCTACCCCATAGTAATGGAGACCACTCAGAGCCTCCAAAGCAGACCTGTGCCCGGGTTACCGTGTTACAGCTGGAGAAAAACGGCAGCAAGAAGAAGTGCTACACAATACAACAGGCCTTCCGAAAGACTTTGTGGAAATTAATGGTCTTCTGTGTTCAGAATGAACATTATAGGTCACGTAGAAGCTAAAGACAGATCTAAACAGGAAAGAGGAGGTCTCCAGGGAGAGGTACTGTTGAGACTGCCACCAAAGTGTCTGGGAACCTGCTTTGGAGAGGGCTTACTGCCCTTGCAGAGGACCTGATTCTGGTACCCATCACCTACATCAGCATGTCAGTTGTCTGTAACTGCAGCTCCAGGGGATCTGATGTCTTCGGGACTCCATGTGAACATACAGTTACACACGCACAGATCTACATACACACAGACACACACATGCAAGCACATAACTTTAAACAAAGCCAACATTTTAATTTAAAGAACAGACTTTAACTTATTTATTATTAGTATGTGGGCAGGTACACGTGCAGAGGCCAGGGGACGACTCTGTAAACCCAGTTCTTTTCCTCCCATCTCTACAAGACCTCTAGGGAATTGTACTCTGTTGGGGAAGTCCTGTGTATATGTCAATAAATTACTGCTGGCCAATAGGAATCTAGATAGGTGGGGCTAGGAGTCCAGGAGGATTCTGGGAAGGAGAAACACAAGAGAGTCAACATGTAACGCCATGGGGGTAGGAAGCCTGGAACTATTCTCCAGTAAGAAACATACTTAGATTAACAATTATGGGGTAATTACTTAAATCAGAGCTAGCCAGTAAGAAACAAACAAAGGCCAACAGCTTCATAATTAATACAGCCTACTGTGTGTTTATTTGGGACTGATGCCGATCTAGAACCAGGCGGGCGGGAAGGCATCCTCTCAAGGAAAGCTTCTCTTAACAGTACTCAGTCACCAGGTTTGTGCAGCAAGCGCCTCTCCTCACTGAGCCATTTTGCTGGCCCAAAAGAGGACACATCCAGGAGGCCAGATGAGGAGCATGTGAGCTCCTTGGGCACATGGGGGTTCTTGTCTTACTAAGGGCCACAAAAATGTTCAGAGAGGCACGCTATCTGCCTGCCACTCATGACTGAGTCTTGCCTGATGACTCTGGCTGGCTTGCTACCTGCTGCTAAGTCCTGTCTTTGCATCTGTGACCTTTGCTCCCCACATCTGGGCTTCTCACTTCACAGACTTGTAGCTATTTCTGCTCTTTCAGTGGAGAAGGAGTGAGATGTTTTCCTCTTCTCAAGGTTACAGGTGGCTGGACTGGAAGGAAATGTGCTTCCCCTAGGCCCTTTTGCTGTTTAACTCTAGGAATCAGCATACCATAGGCCACACTAACTAGAGACAGAGGAGGACGATCTCCTCTATCTCATCCATTAGTCATTTATCATATTTACTGAGTACTTACTGTGTGCCAGGTGATTAAAACATAGTGATCATAATCTTGTCGCAATGGTCCTGACACCTCAGGACACCCCAAAACAAGACCTCCTGTACTTAAGACTTAAAAAGATGTTTGGACTACCCAAAGCCAACGAAGAACTCATATCCAAAATATATGAACTCCTGAAAGGCAATGAGACGAAAGCCCAGTGGAAAATTGACATAATACTTAGCAACTACTCAAATGGCAAAGAAATGTATGGGGAAAGCGCTTAACCTCATTGGCTGTGAGGGCAATACAGATGTAAGCTACAGTGAAATACTGTACTACACACCCGCCAGAATGGCTACAATTTTTTCTTACTTTTTGTTTGTTTGTTTTTGGACAGAGTTTCATCACAGCAGCCTTGGCAGGCCTGGAACTCACTATGTAGACAAGGCTGGCTTTGAACCCACAGAGATCAGCCTATCTCTGCCTTTTGGGTGCTAGGATTGAATGGCTACAACTTTAATCTTTTCAGATTGATAGTACCAGTATTATTAGTAAGGTTATGAAGCAATAAGGCATTGCTAGCAAAAATATAAATTAATAAAAGACATTAGAAAGTTATTAGTAGCATTTACTAAAGTTAAACACTCGCCTGCCCTATGACCCAGTTCTGTTCCAACGTACAAGTTCAGGCTGGGCATGGTGGCACACGCACTTTTAATCCAAACACATAAGAGGCAAAGGCACAAGCAGGCAGATCTCTGGGAGTTTGAGGCAGCCTGGCCTACAGGGTGAATTCTAGATCAGCCAGGGTCACACAGAGAGACTCTGTTTCAAAAACAAACAAAACAGAATGTAAGTGTACTAAGTGACATAAAGATGCCATAGCAGACTGATACAATAATCACACCTGGAAACAACTTAAGTACCCATCAGCAGATACAAATGGTGTGTGGTTGCTTAGTGACATTACACTGCAATAAAGGTGAATTAACTGATGCTATCATGTGTGTGTAGGGGTGAGAGAAACCGGGTACAGAAACCACTAGTACCTCCTGAGTGGTTCTGTTACATAAGTCCAAAAGCTGGAGGACAGACTAGCAGGGTCAGATAGAGGCTCCCTTAGAGAGTGACCAAGGGGGCTTCTAGGGTGGCAGTAATGACTGAATTCTTCCTCTCGGTGGTGGCTACATGGGCCTGTTCACTGTGCCATAACTTGTCCGTCTATACTCTAGGTTTTTATGTGTTTTCCGTATGTTTGATTTATTTCAATACAAAAGAGAACCTTGTCAAGTAGATAAAAAGTTGGGGAATAAGGGAAAGACAAAGATTTTGTTTGTAAGTTTGTTTTGGGATGAAAGGTTTTGGTCTTTTTGATACAGAGTCTCAACTACATAGCCCTGACTCTCCTGGCACTCTCTCGGCAGACGACAATGGCCTCGTTTATTTATTTATTTATTTTGTAGAGATTCTCCTGCCTCTGTCTCCCAAGGGCTAAGATTACCAACACTCACCATCAGGCTGGGCAGGCACATCAGTCAGTCTTAATTTCCCTCCCATTCTATGCTCACTCTTCACAAAGCTGACCCTTCTGGAGACCCAGTGTTGCCCAGTTTAGGAGTAACTTCCATATCCAAACACAGACTCAGCTTTGAAACCAAAATTGGGGTTCTACCACAGTGACATTTGCTTTATTTAGTCTTTAAAAATGTAGGTAGGTCTCTGATGTCCTAGCAAGCAGCTGAGCTGAACCCAGGGATGCTGGATTGGCAGGTGGAGGCAGGCTTTTGTTGATACATTCGTCATCATTGTCCAAAGGAATGGCCTGCTCAGGTTGCTGTTGGACACGTGTCCCAAAAGCTTGGTTGCCAGCAAGACACATCCCTGCTCCGATCCTCATTCAAAGGTCTGGAGGTATGCTCAATTGCCCCTGAGCGCCTTTCTAGAGAGGAAAGGGGCAGGAAGGAACCACTGGTCACATGTTCCACCAACAAAAGGGGAAAAAAAAGCCTGGGAGTGGGAGTTCCTTTATGGGGAGGTCACATCCCCCGAACAAAAACATCCCAGAGAGAACTGGTACTGAGTTTGGGTTGATGTGAGGTGGAGACACCCCAGGGAGGAAGTGGCAAAAAGGCGAGGGTGAAAACACTCCTCTTTGATCCCACAAGGTGCGTCAGGGAAAATTGGACTTCATTTCGCTTGGGATGGAGACATCTCTCCCCATGGGGCCACGAATTGGTCAAAGCAAACCTGCTCCCCTCCACCCTTACCTCAGGTGGTTTATGTGGCCCCAGCCGTGAGTTTAACGAATTTTCCCTCCAGCCTGCCCATCCCCACCCCTTTGAAGGCTGGAACTTTATTAAAGCAGATTCATTAAGGTCCGGCCAGTCGCCCAGAGAGGAACGCGGAACCTGGAGGGAAAGATGACGAGCCCGAGGACAAGGAACTGTGCCCAAGAAGAAGGTAGGTAGGATCTGGGCGCGGGGAAAGAACTCGCTATGACTGCCGGGGCCCGCGCGATCGCCAGCTGGCCGGCCCACTGGGGTGGTTTCGGGTCTTCCGGAAGGCGAGAGGCTCACTAGAGATAACCAAGATGCGGGGGTATACATGTGTACAGGCGCGGTCGCCGTGCGAGGCCATGGGAACTCAGGCGCGCACCACTGGCCCCCACGCTCGAGTTCCCGTCACTCTGTTGCGTTCTTCCCCCACCCCCGCTCACGAAGCGCGGGGAAATGGGCAGACCTGGGCGGAGCTCTTCTTCTTCCTGTCCTGATTGGCTGATGCAGTTGTCCATCCTGAATCTATTTTTTGATGGAGGGGGGGTTCCACCCGCTCTGCCCCAGATCACGTTTGCCACCCACAGCCAACCACTCTTGTCCAAGTCCGCGGGCAAGAGGCGATTGGGGGCGAGCGAGCTCGGCACCCCAGGCTCTGTCCTGTCCCCGCCGGCCCGAGGCGGAATATCCTGCCCTCCAGGCCACCTCCCCATCGTGGAATCGGAGCGGCGGCCTCGCAGGAAGGCTGAAGCGAAATGTAGCGAGCCGGGTGTCGCGGTTGGACGCTCGCCTTGGCTGGGAGTGTAGCGGGGCACACGCTGGGGCTCGAGGAGGACGGCTGAGGGGGAGGAGTGATGAGAAGAGGGGGTACCCTGCATCCCCGGATACCACGGGCCCCTGCTGCCACTCTCCAGGCGCCCTTCATCCCCAGCGAGGCGCAGGTCAGTGTTGTTGGGTCTGGGGGCAGATGGGGGAGGGGGACTCCAGCACGCAGCGCTTTTGCAGAGTGTTAGTTGCAGGGAGACAGCAGAAGTCATCCAGTTACCCCTCCACCCCACCTCTGTAGTTGGGGATACCCAAACAAGTCCTTTTTGTCCATCCCCGCCGGGGAAGGAAGTGGGGCGTCCTAGGGCCTGAGGCCCATCGGTAGTGGTCTTACTGGTGATGTAATTGAGGTACTGGCCTGCCCCCTTACTAGCCCCCTACCAGGTCAAAGTGGCCTGCCTGCGAGACGGGAGGGGTGGTGGTGTCAGGTTTTAGCGAACGAACTCAGAAACTTTTCTGGCATGGACGCGGTGGACTCACAGTATTTCCTCTCTGGCTGATGATCTTTGAAAACAACGGTGCTGTGTTAAGGTGGCTTTGGCTGGGGACCGAGTAGATGGAAGAATTGTAACTTGGGTCCTAGAGTATGATTCAGCCTTAACCAAACTGGAGTTGACAAATCGTGAGTGTTTGGAATACAAACGCCTGTTCTTCACATCGGCAAAACCCTCTGGAAATGTTTTACTATTGAGAGCAATACTGGTGGCATGCAACAAGTTGGAATCAAGGCCAGGGGATTCCTTTAAAAAACAAGAAAAAGTGGAGCGGGGTAAGGCAGAGACATGATTGGGAGTGAATGCATGATTAGCTTGTGACACTTGGATTTGCCTTCGTTTGTTTTTCTTTCCTCCTTCTCCACCTTTTACTGATACTTTTGTTTTTATGAATTGCACTCTGTCCAGCTGTTGGTAATCCTAGGGAATAGGGGGAGCCTAGGTAATTAAAATATGTAGGTAATAACCGGTAGTTTTAACCTCTGTCTCTTCAACCTAGTTAACTGCCATGTCCTATCTGACAAGCTCACTCGGCCAAGCACAGAGGGAGAGAAGTGTAGACAGCCTGGACCAGGCTCAGCCTCCCAGGTTTCTGTAACACTGTTGACTCTCAAGGGCAGGAGTAGGTAGTAGGCCTCTGGCTCTTAGCCTTGCGTTGGTAGGCTTTCCCTGTCCCAGTGCCTGCTGAGCCCTGGCATTTTCCCTCTTTGGGGGGCTAGGGCAATTAGAGGTCTCTCAGTGATCAGTCTCCCTGTGTGCTTGCCCTGTCTTGCCACTGCTGTCTTGTGATAAGTCATTCACAGAAGAGTGACTCTGTAGGGAATTTGTGACTTACTGCTAAGGAACTACACTTATTACTGAGAAGACGACTCCTGAGAACACCTCTCCCCACCCCAGGCTGCTCAGAAGACAGTGCCAACATCTCCTACACAGCATCCTCCTGTGGAGTCCAGGAGGATGCTGGGACGAGAACCTACTGGGCCTCCACATGAAGTGGGGCAGAACTGCATAATTTTATTATTTATTTATTCATTTATTTATTTTTGGTTTTTGAGACAGGGTTTCTCTGTAGCTTTGGAGGCTGTCCTGGAACTCGCTCTGTAGATCAGGCTGGCCTCTAACTCACAGAGATCCATCTGCCTCTGCCTCCCAAGTGGTGGGATTAAAGGCGTGTGCCACCACTGCCTGTCGACTGTATAATTTTAATGGGAAAAGAGCAAATAGCCGCCTCTGTAACAGACTACTATGTGCTCTGAAGATCATCCTGGCAGGGACTGCCTTTGCTATGTACTAACATTCTCTCCTCTCTCTCTTTTTCCTTTCCTCCCACATAAGGTGTTCCACACAGATTTTTGTGACTTTAAGGACCAGGCAACTGAGAAACTACAAGAACTTCTCAAGAAGGGAGGAGACCTCTGGGAGAGAGGGAAAAGACAGCAGACACTGTCCTGGGACCAGCTGAGCCGAGGGTGCTGCGGGAAGCTGAGGGCACCCAGCAGGAGTGAGAAGAAGCCCCGGCTTCAGACTGAGGCTGTATTCTGAACAATCTGAGCTCATTCAGCTTTTCACAAGAGAGGGCTGCAACATCAGGCACTCCAGACTCAGGTTGAGCCCATCTCTTCTGCATGCCCCTGCTCTGAGGAGCTGGCCACCACTGAGAACCAAAGATACCCGCCCCCCCCACTCCCACCCCCAGCATAGTGCAGAGCTGGGAACAGGAATCCGCACTCACCCCTAGTGGCAGCTGCTGCATCTGATGTGAGGAGTTTGTTTCCTTCCAGCTCCGGGCTGCACTGCTTGATGGGGCTGCCTTTTGGTAGATCAGTTTTTATAGTGCCAGGTAGGAGTGGAGAGCCGTGGGAAGAGGTCCCACGGCACTCAAGCTTGGGTTCAACCCAAGACTAAGTTCTTTCCCGAGTTAGAGTCAGAGAAAGAAAGAAAAATAAATAAATTCTCCCCTCCTCTCCTCCCTGCCTGTCATGTCCTCTAAGCCAGAGCCAAAGGACATCCACCAGCCGAACGGTACTGGCCCTACTCCCTCTCCCTGCTCTTCGGATGGCCCTGGGCGAGAGCCCTTGGCTGGGACCTCAGAGTTCCTGGGGCCTGATGGGGCTGGGGTGGAGGTGGTGGTGATTGAGTCTCGAGCTAACGCCAAGGGAGTTCGGGAGGAGGACGCACTGCTGGAGAATGGGAGCCAGAGCAATGAAAGTGACGACGTCAGCACGGACCGTGGCCCTGCGCCACCCTCCCCACTCAAGGAGACCTCCTTTTCCATTGGACTGCAAGTGCTGTTCCCCTTCCTCCTGGCAGGCTTTGGGACCGTGGCAGCTGGCATGGTGCTGGACATTGTGCAGGTAAGACCTGAGCAGGATAGCTTCTCCTCACAGGCCCTGGATACCTTGGCCTTCTGGGAAAGTGACTCCTGGAACTTCCTCTCCATCTCTGGGTCAGAAGCAGCTGCTGCTTCCTAGAATACTATTTCCCTTTGGATCACACCCTCGGTTTCATCGTTGTCTCTGTAACTTTCTACAGAAGGCTCTGAGAAGTCAAGTAGCCCCAGGGAGGTGTCAGAGCAGTATTGCCTAACAGTGGCAGATGTAACTCCAGAACTCAGGCAGAAAGGAGGAGAGAGGGGCAGGGCTATTGCTTGCCACGATGCCTCAGTGCTGTTGAGTCCAGCCCAGTAGGAGGCATCTAGATGGGTCTCCTCTTTATGCTTGCTTTCCTTTTACTGGAAGTTTCAAGGATACTCAAGGTAGAAAGCGCCTTTTCAAGCCTTTTCTTCCATTCCCCTGCTGGGCAGGAATTTACTCAGCTGTCAGGAGGGTCTCAGATCCAGTTAGAAAGCTCTTAAGGCATTTTGTGTTGCTTATCTCCATGCATCCTTGGCACAGTCTCCTTGGTGAGTGAGAATGGTTTGGGAAGGTGGTGTAAGCTCTGGAAAGGTTGTAAGTGCTGGGGATGAGAACAAAATGTAACCAGACCTTGGCAGGACCATCTGTCTTTGCTCCTTGTCTGTCATCAACCTGTTCTGGGCCATCGGGGCAATTCATATTGAGTAGAAAGAACAGTAAGAGTTGGTAGGACCTGGGAGCTAAGGACCAGGGCAGGGGCGAGCTGTATTTATTGCATTGTGAGTCAGGACTTCCCAAGAGTCTCCAGGTTAGAGAGAGAAGTCTTGCTTCTAAGTAAAAGTTTTGGAAGCTCAGTGCACTGTGCTTTCTACCAGTGCTTGGTTCATCTGAGTTGACCACGATATATCTAACGCCTGCTCAATGCTGGCTCTACCCTAGGTACTCCAAAATGCAGAGGTAGAGGTGCTTTGGCCCGTGTCCTTGGGGACTACTCCTCCCCCAACCCAGGCTTCATTCACTATGAAGCTCGGTATCACCTCTGCTTGAGCCCCGCTAATGCTGCAAGCCATGCACACGGAGATTGCTGTAGAAGTCCCCAGGCCAGTCTCAGGGGCTGAAGGTGGTTGGTGCCGTCTAAAATGTCCATGTAGACCCTGAGTCTTCCAGGAGAACCTTCCAACTTTGGAAATAATGAGAATGATATTTATAGCTTGCAAAAGTGCCTGGTGCTGCCTCCCCTCTCCTTAAACCTGTTATTGTGAGGACTCTTCCTACGAGGAGGTTAGGAAGCCAATCCAGAGCTTGGGACTCCTCCCCTGCTGGTTGTCTTTCTTCCTGGGGCTGAGAGCAGGGGGAGGAGGAAGGGGGAAGAAGTGAGACTGGTTTTGTAGTCTGCCTACCTCTCCTTCCTGAAGCCCTCTGTCTCATCTTACCATTTTTTGAGTCCTAGATTAGTACCTATAAGGAGCTGCAGGGCTGTGGATGTCGTTCATTGTACAGAGAGCTTGCCTAGCATGCACAAAGCCCCAGGTTCCATCCCCAGCCCCACAAGACTTAAAACAAGGGGCTACAAAACCAGCATCCTGGGGTAAAGTAGGAGACACTTAGCTTAGTTTCTCGATAATGATGGTTGATAATGGGGGGGGCATCAGAGGGCATCCTGTAAGCCTAAAAAGTAGGAAAAAGGCATTGATCTCCATTTTGTAGATGGGAAACTACGTCATAGATAAATAAGCCACTGGTCACCTCTCCCAGAGCCTGTGTCAATAACCTTTGTTATGGTTGGGATTTGCAACCTGGCTTAAGACTGTGAGGAGCCTGCTGTTTTGGTCTTGTCTTGGAGAACAGGGCAGACTGGGAACCAGAACAATTGGCATTGGCTTTTAAAGTGAACCAGAGCCAAAGGGAATGGAGGCTCAGCCCCACTCCTCCCTCATGTCAGGGTTGCAGAGTGGGGACAGTCCTCTGATGTCTTGCCTTATGCCCACGAACCTAAGACATTGAGAGATTTAGGTAGTAGGGACCTGGAACCACCCAGCATGCCCGCTGAAGGCTGGTATCGCCCTCGGTGTGGCATCTTGGCTCATACCAGAGCTAGGGTTCAGTTGGTGTAGATGACAATGACTGGTTTGTCCTTGTGCCCCTCCCCCCATGTTCCCACCACAGCTGGGCTAAAGCAGGGCCCACAGACGGCTCCAGCCAGATGACTGAAGTGGGTGGGTACAGGAGGACAGGGGCAGGGGACCACAGGGAGAGTTTTTCACTCTACATCCAGGGAAGTGATGGGGATGATAGATGCTCTTGGATACAGGATAAAATAACCTGCAGTGAGACAGTCTAGAACCACCTGGTGGTTGTTCAAGATCCCTGTGGTTCAGAGCAGCAGGAGCCTATTTGAACCTTGTTACAGATACATCCTTGGCCCAAGGTTGCCCCTGCAGCTAAGACTGGGCTTTTCTAGAAGACCCCTTCTGTGTCTTGTCTGACCTCTTGCATCACACCACGTGTGCACTAGCCTCCCCAGTGAGATAGGAGCATAGGGATTTTTCCAGAGTCTAAACGGAGAAGCCGACTATAGTCTGCTCTACCTTGCCCACTACAGCCAATATTTGCAAGGAGCATGCCCAGTGGTTGGCTTCAGAAAGAGACTGCACAGGAGTCTCAGGCTGCCCGTGCTCTTTGGCTCTCCCCTGTCTGTCCTGGGCTCCTGCAGGGCTTCATGTCCATTTCCTGTCAGCCTTTGTGAGGAATGGGTGGCAGGAGGTGGTGTGTGGTCTCCACTGGACCTCTCAACTAGGTTAGAACAGGGGGACTCTCCAGTCCTTGTTTAAGGCACTCCTTTCTTGACCCCTCCCTAGTACCTTCAAAGATGGGAGTGGCTGGCCGCATGGCCTTGGGGAGGGATATGGGAGGGAAACAGACTTCTTTTTCTGGAGGCTGCTGAAGCCCCTGGGCAGGACACTCAGATCCTGTTCCCTTGATCACCTCTGCTCTGCCCATCTCTGCCTCCTGGGTGCTATCAGGGCCATTTCCTTTTCTCATGCTGTGTGCAGCTCTGTACCTGCAGGTATCGCCCTGAGGCCCCTCTGCTTGGATACCTGCAGGACGCCTGGGACAAGCCTCCAGCAGATGGAAACTATGATCCAGCCTGACCCAAGACTGCCTGAAAAGTCTTTGGGCAGCTTGGTACCCGGTGCTAGAATCTGGGAGTTTGGGTCCTTTTAATTTCCCGATTCCATCTCTTGCTGACTTGGCTTCTTGCTGATGTGTTTCCGGAGCAGGAGGCTCTGCCAGGTGGAAGAGCAGGTTGGATGGCCCAGGAGGGAGTCATAGCAAGATCCCTGAGCTGTGAGGCTTGGGAGAGTGCTCTGGGTCAGTGTTGGTTTTGAGTGCGGAGGCTGCTGTCTCATCTCGTCCTATACTTTTAGAATATCGGGAATCCAGGAGAGAGAACAAAGAGAGGGTCCCAGATTCTGAGAAGCAATTAAAAAAAAATCCCTAGGTGTTCCCCTCTAACCTCTAAGCCAAGCAGCTTCCTGGACCCTGTTCCATCCCTATTGGTACAGATAGGTGTGGGTGGTAGCTTGACTAATGGCTTAGCTGACTGGTTTGACTTCAGGGCAGACAGTCCGAGCCAGGGTGAACAGGATGGGCCTGAATTAGGCCAAAGAATTAAGAAAAGCCACCCCCATCTACACCACTCCATCCTCAACCCCTAACCTCAGGACCACCCTGCTTTCTGGCTGCCTCTGCTTCCCAGAGTCCTCTGCGTGCATACAGGTCATAGACTCCCGGCCTGAACTACATTTTTGAGAGGGTTTTATGGGTAGGAAAAACAGATGTAGGGATTGGCTCTTCTGTCTCAAGTGCCAGCTTAGGGCTTTGCTGGGTTAAAGGGTCTGGTATTGTGAGTTCCAGGCTGTATTCTGAGAGTTGAGAAGATTTCTGCATGGGACTGCTACTTACTGACCCTTGGCCTTTTCCTTGCCCATCCATCTGTCCCATGTCATCCCTTCCAAAACCCCACAACTTCCAGATCCCTCTGTAGTTAAAAGCAGAGGACATATATATATATATATATATATATATATATATATATATATATATATATTGGAAGGAGAAAATTAGAGGTAGCACCTAGTGGGGGTTAACTGAACTTCTTACATTCTTTTCTCCAGGATCTTGTTGCTGTGTAGCCCAGGCTAGACTCAAACTCACAACTTGCCTCATCATCCTGAATGGTAGACTTACAGGCATGCCACCATGTCTGTGAGTGTTACCTTCTGGGAGGATGCCCATCACCTTCACTCTCTGGAGAGCTGAGCTTTCAGAGAACTAGCAGCTCAGGCGGGCGCAGGTAGGCAAGCATGTGGGGCTGTGTTCTGAAAGCACCCCAAAGACTCACAGTCTTCTCACTTGTCAAGAGAGGGGAAGAATTCTTCCTTCTCTGAAGCTGCTTATCCAGTCCAAGAGAGGCTCAGCTGAGGGAGCTGGATCCACAGGGGTGGATGTTCTAGCCTTGTCCAAGAGTAACACTCCCGGGGCTCATGAGGCGCCTCTTGGGCTGCCTGGGAGGGGGGAAGATACCTTCCCCAGTATTTGAAAGGCAGCAGTGGAAGGTCAGAACTGATGTGGAGGGGGGAAGATCCTCACCTTCCCCAGTATTTGGAAGGCAGCAGTGGAAGGTCAGAACTCATGTGGAGGGGGGAATGCCTCTTCCCTTGCCCCACAGGAAGCTTTAGAGAGTCTAGGTCCTTTAGGAAATGCCCAAAAGAATCCTATGCCCAGGAACTTGGACATGAAGAAATGAACTATCCTCTGGGTCCTACTCCCTGCACACATACCCCAAGAACACTAACAAAAAGGCAAGGTTTGTATCTTTTAGGACACCCCCCACAGTGTTTTAGCCTCTCTGCTCCCTGGCCCCAGCCCCCTCTGATGGCTTCATGAATCTTGGGTTTTGATGTGGTTTGGTTTTTTCAAGACAGGGTTTCTTAGTATAACGGCCCTGGCTGTCCTGGAGCTCACTCTGTAGACCAGGCAAGCCTTGACGAGAGTGTTGGGATCTCCAGGCTTTGTTTTGTTTTTTGAGATAAAATCTCTACCTCCAACTATCTTCAGACTCCCAATCTGCCTCAGCCTCTGAATGCTAGGATTACAGACATACCATCAGGGTTGTGTTTTTTTTTTTTTTTTTTTTTTTTTTTTTGGTTTGGTTTGGTTTTGGTTTTTCGAGACAGGGTTTCTCTGTATTGTTTTGGAGGCTATCGGTCCAGCCCAGCCTCGAACTCACAGAGATCCGCCTGCCTCTGCCTCCCGAGTGCTGGGATTAAAGGCGTGGGCCACCAAGGGTTGTTTGTTTTTAATGTTGCAAGAAGTCACATAACATGAAGCTACACTGTAACCATCTTGAAGTGTGTAAAGTGTGTTCTCTGTACCATTTTCTCTGACACTCTGTATCCATATAATGTATCCATATAATGCTAATTCCCTTCTCCCGGCCCTCAGCCATTCTCTTCTTCTTCTTCTTCTTCTTTTTTTTTTTATTTATTTCTATGAATGTGATGACTATTCCATGTAGGGAGTGATTTTACATACCCGTGAACACACCCACACAGGAGTGGTCACTCCCTATAACTTCAGAGTGGAATAAGTGGAATTATACAACATTTGCATTGTGGCTGGATTGGTTGGTTTAATGTCCTCAAGATTCACCCGTGTTGTAGCATGGGACAGGATTTCCTTTTCAAAGCTGAGTCATACTTTGGTATTGCTCTGCTGTATTTTACTGGTCCGCTCAGCTACTGAGGGACAGTTGAATAGCTTCCGCCTCTTGGCTGTCCTGCACAAGTGAAGCTATGAACAGGAGTATATAAATACTCCTCCAAGATCCTGCTTTCAATGATTTTTAATAAATACTTAGGACTTGGGGGTAAGTAGTCAGGAGAAGTACTGGGATTGCTAATCATATGGCCATTCTTATTTAATCACCCATCCATTCACTGTGTGTGTCTGTGTTATATGGATTGTGTACATTCCATACATGTGCCAGTGGTCAACATGGGGCATTTTCTCTGCTGCTCACCACTGGCTTTTTTGTTTGTTTTTTTTTTGGGGGGGGGGCGGGTTGGTTTTTTTGTTTGTTTGTTATTTTGGTTTTCCGAGACAGGGTTTCTCTGTTTAACAGTCCTAGCTGTCCTGGAACTTGCTCTGTAGATCAGAATGGCCTCAAACTCACAGAAATCCACCCGCATCTGCCTCCCAAGTGCTGTGGTTAAAGGTGCGCACCACTGCCGCCTGGATTGTTTTTTGTTGTTTTGGTTTGGGTTTTTTTTTTTTTTTGGTTGTTGTTGTTGTTTTCTTAGAGACAGGGTGTTTGGGGTTTTTTGGGGTATTATTTTTTGGGGTATTGTTTTGGGGGTGATATTTTTGGGGGTGTTATTTGGGGGATATTATTTTAGGAGTGTTATTTTTGAATGTTATTTTTGGGGTGTTGTTTTGGGGGGTATTTTGGGGTGTTTTTGGGTATTTTTGGGGTGTTGTTTTGGGGTATTATTTTTGGGTTTTATTTTTGGGGTGTTGTTTTGGGGTGTTATTTTTTGGGTATTCTTTTTGGGGTGTTGTTTTGGGGTGTTATTTTTGGGTATTATTTTTTGGGGTGTTGTTTTTTGTATATGGGTGTTTTACTTGCATCATGTCTGTGCATCACATGCATGCCTGGTGCCTGGGAAGGCCAGAAAAGGGTGTCAAGTCTCTTGGGGTTATAAGACAGTTGTGAGCCATCATGAGGTATTGGGAATGGAACCTAGGTCCTCTGCAAGAGCGGTTAATGCTCTTAATCACTGTGTCATCTCTCCAGGCCTGTATCACTTCACTTTTTTTTTTTAAGAGTTTCTCACTGAATCTGAAGCTCACTGGTTGGCTAAGCTGGTGGTTCCGTGATCCTCAAGGCCCAGTAAGCCTCAGTGTTGCAGTTACGGACATGCACTGTTGTGCTTGACTTTTTATGTGAGCACTAGAAATCAAAACTCAGGCACTCCACCTTGCTGCTTGCGCTACCAGGCCTTGACTGACCGAGCCATATCCCCAGCTGGTTTGTTTGTTTGTTTGTTTGTTTGTTTTTTGAGACAGGGTTTCTGTGTGTAGCCCCAGTCATCCTGGAACTTTCTCTGTAGACCAGGCTGGCCTCAAACTCATAGAGATCCACCTGCCTCTGCCTCCCCAGTGTTGGGATTAAAGGTGTGTGCCTACAACCACCTGGCTTGTTTGTTTATTTTTTTGTTTGTTTGTTTGTTTGTTTTTTGGTTTTTCGAGACAGGGTTTCTCTGTATTGTTTTGGAGGCTATCGGTTGTTTGTTTATTTTTAAGACAGAGTCTTTCTATGTAGACAGCTGGCCTTGAGCTTTCAGCAGAGCCCATTCCTCCCAAGTGCTGGGGGTACAAGCACAACCACCACATACAATTTGTTGTCAGTGTGAGGAACTGCCATACTGTTGCCATAGTAGCTGCATCTTATACTCCCACCAGCAATGCAAAGGTGCTCTCATCTCCATGTCCACACAGTACTTGGTGTTATCCCTTTGTCCTCCTAGACATCCTAACGGGTATACAGTGCACCTCACTGTGGTTCAATTTGCAGCCTTGCTCTTTAGCAGTAGAATAGAGGGGCTGGAATTGCCTAGTGGGCTGACTCTCTAGTCTGGCCCTGGAACTGGGAACTGAACACTTGAGCAGGAGTTTGATGCCTTTGTAACCTATCTGAGGGCCCCGCCGGGCGATTGTGAAGAAGTGTGCTGAGGAAACAGCTTAAGAACCCTCCCTGTATCTCAGCTCTAGTTACCCCAACCAACCTGCATACACCACCTGCTGTTCACCCCTCCTCCCTTTACAAACCTGCAGGCTTGCCATTCTTTTTGTTGTTGTTGTTTGTTTGTTTGTTTTCTGAGACTGGGTTTCTCTGTTTTGTTTTGGAGGTTGTCCTGGAACTCCCTCTGTAGACCAGGCTGGTCTCGAACTCACAGAGATCCGCCTGCCTCTGCCTCCTGAGTGCTGGGATTAAAGGCGTGCGCCACCAGTGCCCGGCCAGGGTTTCCATTCTTAAAACCCCGTGGTCCTTTGGGGCCAGGAAGGGAGGCATAATCTGAACTTCTTTAGGAAAGCCTCAGTTTGGGTTACAACTAAGAGGGCTTTCAGTCCTACAATAACTAGGGTAGTACTTCCTTTTCTTTTTTCTTTTTAGTTTTTGTTTGTTTTGTTGGCTTTTTTGTTTTGTTTTGTTTTTGTTTTTGAGACAGGGTTTCTCTATGGAGCCCTGGCTGGCCGTCCTGTAACTTGTTCTGTGGAGCAGGCTGTCCTTGAACTGATAGAGATCCACCTGCCTCTGCTTCTCAGTTGGTAGTACTTTTCTGAACCTTCAGTTTTCTCATGTGCAAGATGGGAACAAGAAAAAAGCTCTTCATTGTCTTGTTGAGGTGCCTAGGTGAGAAAACTCATTAACATATGTCAGCCAAAGAAGTTGATGGGAGAGCCAGGACTGATTGCCCCAGGACTAGAGCCCAGCCTCTCCTAACGGGTATATTTGCTTCTGTCGGCTAAGGAATGGGAGTGTAGAGAGGAGTAAAAAAAATCTCTCGCAGACCAGCATAGGAGAAGCACCATGTACATCAGAGCCTGGTCAGGAAAGCCACTGTGGCTGAGACCCAGAGCCCTTGAAAATAGAAACCAAACAAACGTTCTAATCACCCTGGCCCCAGCCCTGTGGAGCCTGGCTCTCCACAGCTGAGACAACACCTCCCGAGGCTGAGGCCACCGAGACGCTGGATGAAGGCAAGGGGGCTGCAGAGTGCTGTTTGAGAGGGCATCACCAAGGAGTTCTGGGGCAAAAGCCAGCTTGGGGTGGTTCCACTGTGGGGTCCCCATGAAAGCATATAGAAGGGCCAGTCAGGCAGTCAGGCTGTGAGTCTCTCCTGTTCTGGAATGGGGGTTAGGCTGTCTTATTGGAATTCTTGGGCTTTTTCTACTCCCAGGCTTCTCAAGGGGAAATAAGGTTCCTGGTGTACTTACTCATGCTGGTCCTTTCTCTCTCCTGTCCCCTGACCCCACACTCTGTTCAGCTTCAATGCCAGTCCTTTGAGGTACTAAAATTCTCGGACTCTGTGTTCATCTTATAGCACTGGGAGGTCTTCCAGAAGGTGACAGAGGTCTTCATCCTGGTGCCTGCACTGCTGGGGCTCAAAGGGAACTTGGAAATGACCCTGGCGTCAAGGCTGTCCACTGCAGTGAGTGTCCTAGCTGTGGGAAGCGGGAGAGGGGGCAGGGAGAAGATAATGGGTAACACAGAGACTAGTAGGTATCCACACAACTGCATGGGCCTGTGGAGGGAGATCCCAGACTGGGTGTCCTGTCCCCGGGCAGGGGCTCCCTGCCCAGAATGGTTCCTAGGCTTGGACTCTGGATGTCCCAGCCATCCCTGGATGCCTGCCCCACCTCCTGCTTTGCAACCTGCCTCGTGACTGTTTGTGCAGCTTTGACAGGCAGGCATCATGCTGGTCCCTCCAGCCACACAGGTGGGGGCCTCCTCTGATCTCTAGCCCTACTCTGCAGCTGGGCAGGAGCAGAGCCAGGGCCCTCCCAACACCCCTTCAAACCATTCCCTTTCTCCATCGCAGCTTGCTCTTCAAGAGAAGAGGCATTTCCACCTCCCACAACCCTTTCTCTCTGCCACAGCCATTCATGGACTAAGCCCAATAGAAGGCCATGGCTGGGAGGCAAGAGGTGTTAACACTCAGGAGACGAGGCATGTCCCCTTATGGCCAAGTCTGGAGCAGATAGCGTGGAGCGCAGCTGGTCTATCCCACCCCTTGCTCTTTCTTTCTCCTGGCTGGGGCTACCCACTTCCTTCAGCCTCAGCCCTGGGCCAACAACTGACCTTGCCTTCCCTAAGAGAACAAGCTGCTTCACCAAATCATGCAGATCCTTGCAGAAGCATGCTACCCAGATGAACAAAACAGAATGGAATCTTCCTCAGTTCCCCTCACGCCCTGGAACTTACCCTCCTTGGATGCTTTCGTATTGGAGTCCATAGTCATAGAGTCTTAAGCTTTATGCATTGCTTTTTGACCCAGTCTAACAGATAGAAACCCAGACCCTGTGCAGCAGGCTCCAACCACTCACTCTCCCTCTTCCAGGCCAACATTGGACAAATGGACACACCTAAGGAGCTCTGGCGGATGATCACGGGGAATATGGCCCTCATCCAGGTAAGAAAACACGGACCAGAGACAATAGGCTAAGCATCTCCTTAGTCATGAATCCCTGAAAGGCTTAGGTCAGCCCAGCTGGCTCCTAAGTGGCTGTCCAGCATCCTGCAAAGTAGGCTAGGAGGTGACTAGTTACTCAGGAAAATGGCCAAAATAGGGAGAGCCCCAGCAGCTTCCATGTCACATGGCTTCCTTGTCATAGGCTCTGGATAGTTCTGGGGTTTTTGAGCCTTCACCAGTCTTTGTGGTAGAATCAGACTTGTGAGTGTTGGAATGTCCTCTGCCACGGTTGTCCCATCCCTCCCCTCCTGGGAGGCCACACAGATCGAATGTTTTCCCCCTTGGGTCCCAGCTCTGGACTCTGACTGATCTCTGGGCTGTTGACTCTTATCCCATCTCCAGAGAAACATCCAACCAGCCAGTAACGTGTCCTAGGATTCCCTCTACTAGAGTCAGGGCTAAAACTAAATAAAGGCATCCTTCTAGCCTACAAGGACCGTGGAGTCTGGTCCTGCCTGCTTGCTAAGGGCTAGGAAGAGTCCTTTGGGTACTTGGTGACTCCCTCAACTAAGGAACTCTGCTCTCCTCACTACCATGTCTCTCCCCAGGTGCAGGCCACGGTGGTGGGCTTCCTGGCATCCATCGCAGCTGTCATCTTTGGCTGGATCCCTGACGGCCACTTTAGTATCCCGCATGCCTTCCTGTTGTGCGCCAGCAGCGTGGCCACAGCCTTCATCGCCTCCTTGGTGCTGGGTAAGAAAGGGAGGAAGGCACAGGGCCGAGGGTGCTGCTCCCAAGGTGTCCACTCTACCTGGCTCCTCCATGCTCTTTCGTTTATTGATGCCCCTCTATTTCCTTCTCTCCCTGGCCTGTCTGTCCTTCCTCACCAGGTATGATCATGATTGGAGTCATCATTGGGTCTCGAAAAATTGGGATCAACCCAGACAACGTGGCCACGCCCATCGCTGCTAGCCTGGGCGACCTCATCACTTTGGCACTCCTCTCAGGCATCAGCTGGGGACTCTACCTGGAATTAAGTAAGGCTAAGGCCACTGAGAATGGCTTGGGTGCACTCCAGAGTGGCGTTGGGAGAGGTGGGGACCATTTTGCACACGTGTGGAAGGTTTTTGCCATATTGTTACCTATGTGGACAGTTTGTCACACCTCCCGGTGGTAGGGAGACTAGATAGGCCCTCATCTCGGTTCCTGCAGTCAGACAGCAGAAGGGAGAGGTTCAGAACTCGTCCCTGCTTAATCCTAGGGGTTTTGTTTCCCTTGGAGGGATGGGATGTGGAAAGGGGAATGGGAAGAATGGAAGATGGCAATCTGCTTGTAAACTGAAGAAGAGGAGGGGAGGTAGGGATTTCTGGGATCGGACCAAGGCACATACAGTTGGTGTCTGTTTCTGTTAACTTTACGGCCTGAGCCGGGCATGGTGGTGCACACCTATGATCCTCGCCTCCCAGGAGGTGAAAGCAGGAAGAGAGTGAGAGTAAGGCAACTTGGGCTACGCAGCAAGACCTGGTCTCAAAACAAAAATGTAGTGCCTGAGTAGCTGTCTGCCTTCATTTCTTCCTCTACAAAGTAGACAAAGCTAGCCTCACTACCTCCCGGGTGTGCAGTGAGGATCAGATGAGGTGATACGCTTCCAGGCATTTAGGGTAGAATTACTGCCAATGGGTTGGTCTCTTGGGACATCTGCAGTCTGAGCTGGGGGGAGCTGGTACTGGGGTCTTGGCGCTGATCTCCCTCTGGTCTCTGCCCTCAGAGCACTGGCGATACATCTACCCCCTGGTGTGTGCCTTCTTTGTGGCCCTGCTGCCTGTCTGGGTGGTGCTGGCCCGAAGGAGCCCAGCCACAAGGGAGGTGTTGTACTCAGGCTGGGAGCCTGTCATCATTGCCATGGCCATCAGCAGGTAGGCTGGGGCCCTGAGTATATACCCCTATGTCATTCCCTCCTCGCCACAGACCCCATCTGAAACTGGAAGTGCATCTGTAGTGCCAGTCATGTGTCCCTCCATTGCAAGTGACAGGAACTATGTGTATTAGGTTTCATTCCAAAGCAGAACATATTGACCTCGGGGACTAAAAAAAGCAGCTGTATCCCGGGATGAATGCAATACTATTGAGACCCTGGAACTCTACCGTTCTGCTTTCTCTGTGGTGATCAGCAGTCCAGGGTTTCACCCTTCTGACTCCTCCCACTCCCCGCAGGAGGAGAGAGGCTTTCCCCCAACGGTTGCACAGAGACCCGGTATAGAATGTCCTTGCTTCCTGTTCAGTTGGTCACAGTTCTGTCCTTGAATCCGTCATTTGGGCTTGGGAATGCAGCTGTCTGATTGGATGGGGAGATTAGCCACAGCTGAAACAGTGTTACCTGGACCACAGTGACTGAGTTTGAGAGCACTGCTTCCCTCAGGGAGAAGCCAGTGCTGTTACCATAGAGGAAATCAGTGCTGAGCAGGCAGGCGACCAGGGTCCTCACAGGAAGGTGGCTCTGCTCACACTTCTTATGCCAGAGTCACTATGCCAAGTCAGGAGATTATGAGCAACAACTGTTGCATGCATGAGAACCAAAGACTGAAAGGAGAGACTTCTGGAAGCCACTTTGCTGCCCTTGCCCCAAGGTTAGAACGACCTGTGCCTCTCATTCTAGAGACCAGAGCAGAGCCTTTCGGTGGTCTCTGTGTCATTTGTCTTTGTGTCTCCGTAGTGTGGGCGGCCTCATCTTGGACAAGACTGTGTCAGACCCCAACTTTGCAGGAATGGCTGTCTTCACACCTGTGATTAATGGTGAGGCCTTAGCGTCAGCTGCTGGGGGAACAGCTGGACATAGCTTCTGTGTCATTCAGGGTTCCAGCAGGCAAGAGAATCTAACTCAGAGAGGACAAGACTTAAAGATAGAGGTGGGGAAGAAGAACCAACAGGGGACCATGGGGCACCCAGAAATTAGCAACATGAAAGTCTCTAGCCCTGAAGGGCCAAGGGGACCCAGAAATTATCTCGCAGGAATCCAGTTAGAATTCCAGCCTGCCCCCTGCAAGAGTAAACTCTTGCCAAAAAGGAGAAAAGGATCTAGAAAACCAAAACAAACCACTAGGCCCCTCTCCCTGCTCACCTGCTGGTGTCTCCCACTGCACAAGCCAAGTAAAAGCATCCAGCAAGAGAAACTGGTATGAGGCCTGTAGCCGCCACCTCTCGGGGCTCAGGGCAAAGCTGAGAAAGAAGTACAGGGACTAGGTTGTATGCAGTGCTAAAGGCAAATGGTAATGGGCAGTGTACCTGGACAGTACCACGTAAGAGGTTACACTGCTTCCTGGAAACTCGTTATTGAGTGTGTGAGCGCTGGGTCAGCTCTGGAGAAGGCCTTGAACCCTACTGTGCAGCAGGCAGGTGTCTGCGCTGCACAGTAGGCTTCAAGGCTATATCCCTGAGTAGGCTTGAAGTAGCCACTTCAAGGGTACGTGGAACCATCACACCTGCATGTAAGGGAAGCTGAAAGCCTAGAAGACTCCTCGGAAGCAGCGAAGTATCATTTGTCTTCTCCCGTCACGTTTTCTTGGCACGGGGAGGGGGGGGGGACACGATACCTGCATAGATTCTAGTGAAGGCAGAAGACAGGGCCCTACCGATGAAGACAAAGAACAAGGTGGTTCCCTCCCAGTCCTTCTATCCACGTCTGAGTCCTGTGTGTCTCTCTGCAGGTGTTGGGGGCAATCTGGTGGCTGTGCAGGCCAGCCGCATCTCCACTTTCCTCCACATGAATGGCACGCCAGGGGAAAACTCTGAGCCAACTCCTCGCCGCTGCCCCAGTCCATGCACCACCTTCTTCAGCCCTGGTAACCACAGCATCTCAAGGGTCCATTCCCGCCATAGAGGGAGGGCGCCTGCAGACAGGAACTTCACTCGAGGCACCCGGGGCCCTGGCTTCACGGTTCTCCTGAAATGCCCTGGAGATAGAGCTGTGTGCTGGCCTAGAATATGGCATTGACCGTCCTGTGACCTTCTGGTCTTCCTGCTTTCCTCTCTCCTCTTCCAGACGTGAATTCACGCTCAGCCCGGGTCCTCTTCCTCCTTGTGGTCCCAGGACACCTGGTGTTCCTCTACACCATCAGCTGCATGCAGGGCGGGCACACCACCCTCACGCTCATCTTCATCGTCTTCTACATGACAGCTGCGCTGCTCCAGGTATGGCCTAGCAGGAGCAGGGGAGCCCAGGGCCCCTGTGGAGTAAGAACCCCAAGTTTAGACCTGGTCTCTTGCCACTTCTCTCTCTCTGCATCTGGATAGCCGCCGGCCAGGACTCGGGAGGATAAAAAGGCTGTGGCTCTAGAAGAGTTCCCGCCCATGCTGTGTGTCTTTAGCCTAGTTACATCCCTTCTCAGCCTCAGTGATACATTTTCAAAGTGAGCAGACCAGCAGCAGGGTTTTCAGGCAGACGATTACGGGGCGCTTAACAGGGGAACTCGGAACCACCTATACCCTGCTCCCCGCTGGCCTTGCCACAAAACTCTACTTGGCCATTTTGCATTCTGGGCTTCATTTAAATAAAGGGTTCCACAGCTACAACAAGCGTCAGAACCATTTTACAAGACCAATCCAGCCTCGGGACTTATCCAGCCTTGTCCTTCTGTACGGCCATGGTGCCGTCTCCCTAACTATTACTAGATTTGACTTAGCCATTCTCCTGTTGATAAATAGTTTCCCTCCAAACCCCCAGCTCAGAGGTTCCTTGGGAAAGTTGTGTGTTCTAGGAATCTTGGCAAGCGCTGGGCTAAGAATCAGCCATGTGCTGTTTCCCAGCAGTAGTTACCCAAATCACCATGCTCCCTTGCAAATGTAATCAGGAACCCGTACACACACACACATACACACACACACACACACACACACACACACACACACACACACCAATGGGAAAGGAGCATAGGTGTGTCTGTTGTGGCTGCTTCAGTTCCTCCTTTTGCCTGGGTTGGAAGGCCAGACCTTCATGCTATCTCCTATCTGTGAATACCCTGTGGTCAGGTTTAGCTGTGCTTCCTTCTCTAGATCTGTGGAAAAGCAAAGTGTTGACAATTGCTCCCTGTAAAGTTCTGCCAGGTCCCTTTGCACCTGTCCCAACGTGTCCTTGTGCTACTCGGGAGGCTAAATGTGAGGACAGCTGCTGCCATTTCCCTCTAGTGCACATCTAGTCACACTCTTAATTTGGGACTCTGCTGCAGCTGTCAAAAGGCTGTGAAGTTACAGGGAGGCTGGACTGCAAAGCCAAGGCCAGGGCACAGGAATACAGGGCAGCTGTGTGCAGAACAGGGGGAACGTGAAAGGTTCTAGGATAGCAATCTCGAGAATAGCACACTCCACCCCCCCACCCCCCACCCCTCCCCCCTCCTACCACTCCACCCCCGCCATGAGCGTGCCAGAGCCTAACCGTTAGATAGTGTCTCATTCTCATAGGCACTGTCATTTGAGGGCCCCTAAACCAGACACTAGTGCTCTAGATTAAGTACAGTTCCAACTGTAAAGTGCATGTATATCTGACTAAAATGGCAAAATTCCTATTCCCGAAGGCCCAGTGTTAGGCCTGAGATTGTGCATTTGTGACACACTCCCCACTGCAGCCAGTACTTTTAAACCCAGTAACTAGATTCTGATCTTGGCTATTCTCAACTGTAATTACAGAAGGTAAGCAACTGTACAAACAAATCAAATTAGTAGATAATCTAAAATGGATTTTGAATTGCTATGCATTATAACTGACTTTATGTTTAGCTTTGTTCCTAAACCTTTTTTACAGCTGAATGTTAGAATAAACTTAGATTCTTTGAGCCCACAACAGCAGGATGGAAAGGGTGAAGAGAAAGCAGCTTGGATAGTCAACTGTTACCCAGATGACAGAGGAGAAAGACCCTTGTAAGAGAAACTGGCTCTAACTGCCAGCCCCCACCGGGCTGGCTCCTGGAGAGACCAACATGGCAGGAATTGCAGTAACTCAAGAATGGTCTGACCCAGAATTAGAGGCAAAGACAGAGTTCCTGTTAGGGTAGGGTTTAGTTTGGAAAGCCTCTGGCTTGGAGCTGGCCTGGCAGAAAGGCTGTGTGACTGTCCAAGCCTTGGGATACACTGAACAGTCCAGTCATGTGGCCTCTGGCTCCCCCTGCAGAACGAGGGTAGCTACAGCAGAACCCTTCTCTCTGCAGGTGCTGATTCTCCTGTACATCGCAGACTGGATGGTGCACTGGATGTGGGGTCGGGGCCTGGACCCGGACAACTTCTCCATCCCATACTTGACTGCTTTGGGGGACCTGCTTGGCACTGGGCTCCTAGCACTCAGCTTCCATGTCCTCTGGCTCATTGGGGACAGAGACACAGATGTTGGGGACTAGCTTAGCCACTCAGCCTTTTCCCTCACCCTCTGCACTTTCTATTTGGATTTTTTTCCCTTTTATTTCCCTACCCCACCCTACACTACACTCCCATGTCTTTCTGGGATTTCACTTTGATACCAAATTCTCATTATTTTCAATGGGAATTTTTTATACATTGAGCCAAGCTTGGATAGCAAGAAATCAGGAAGGACAGACGGACTGAAATAAGCAGTTAAAGTGGCTTTTTGAGACAATCACCAAGTGCAATTCCATGGTGGGTGCCTCCAGGTGAGGTAGATTGGGACCTGGGCAGATTGGGACCTGGGCATTCTGTCCGGCATCTGGGGACCTTTGGATTAGCTTTAGCAACCTCAGCCTTGGCCCTAGTGAGAAACTCTTTGTAAGTGGGCTCTCTGGGTTGTTTTCAGTTTGGTTGAACAGAGAGGTGAGGGATAATTAACACTCCACACATACTTTTATAGGAATGGACCAACTTCAAAGCACTGGGCAGGAGAAAGTTTCTTCAGCCCTCTAGTAATCACAGCGCTGTTGCTCCGGGCAGCCTGCACGCAGAGTTAGGTGAACCTGTTCTGTGTACATGCGCCTTGCCCAACTGCCCTATTGCTTTCCAGCTGAATGAGCAGTGGCCTGGGCTCTGCGTGGATCACTGTCACCCATAGGTTTCCAGCGGTCCACGTGCCCCGAGTCTAGAGACCCTAGTGCCTGTTCAAGCTTCCTAATTGTTTCCAAGCACTCCCTTTCCCCACAGCTTGCCAGATGGGCTTCCAAGACTAGAGACAGGACAAGGAAATGCAGCAAATGAGGTTGATGCAACCTGGGGGTGTTTCGCTGCTGTTTCTCATGAGGACATAACCGCATGGTCTGCCTCGGCGACTGTCACTTCCTAAAAGCGCTCATTCTAACGAACCAGTCAGTTGGCCTTTCTCTTGGCTCCTGCCCATTGACATTTGTCATCCATTCACTCATTCAGCAAATCTCAGTGCCCCCCCCCCCCCCCGCCGCCATGAGCCTTTCCATAGTATGGCCCATACTGATTCTCCATCGAGCAATAGTTATGGGGTGCCTACTGTGTTAGGTACAGTGCCAGGCATTGACTAGCCAGTGCTAAGGGGATCACAGCCCTAACCTCCCCTCATTCCCTAGGTTACCGAGGCCATGTGCCCCTTTAATCTGGCAGTAAGCGATCCCTCGCTGTAGGTCTCTGTCTACTTCCCTCTTTAGATCCAAAGTCTGCAGTGATTGCCAGCACCATTACTCCAGCAGTTTCATGTCCTTAGATACCGCCCCCCCCCCCCATACACATCTCACTAACATTCAGAAGAGGGTTTAGAATGATCGAGCTGGATTTCAGGCGGCTGCTTTGGCACTTACCTGTTCATGATTAGAAGGAAACTTCTCCACACATTGCTCTGAATGGCTCAACAGCCGGGCTGCAGGCTCCTTTCTAGTCTGTTTGTCAGGAGCCCACAGACTCTTCCCCCATATAGCCTAAAGGATTGGCCTCCAAGGATAGGACTAAGCTGTGCCTGGACCTACAGAGACTTCTTACCTCCCCCCTCCCTCCCGCATCACCTGAAATCATAGAACCTTAGAATTGGAGTCAGGTTATCTAGTTGGAATTGCGTCAAGCAGATGAATAGCAATCTGGGCTTGTTCCTGCTCTCCCCTCTGACCTAACTCTACCCCAAAACAGACTTGTGCAGGCACCACACCCCGAGACTGTGACCCCAGGACCCCCCAGCCACTTACCCTATCCTGATTTCTGGTTTTGGATCAGGTTGTCTAGAGACTGAAGCATCCCTCCCCCTTTGCCCAGAAAGCAGAAAAGTAGGCACACCCAGGCTCAGCATGTGAGCGGAGGAGGACTGGGGTGAGGAGGAGTTGACTTAAGTAAGGGTCGTCTCTTCCCTCTGGGTTGCACCTATTGCATGTACTTTTGGCCTGACTGGAAGAAACAAAATTGGTTTACTTTCATATCCTTCAAAAGTTACAGAACTGTGTCTTAAGAGAATTATTTATAGTTACTATAACTGAATTGACAAATGTCGACTTAACTGATAAATTATATTTGGTAAAATAAAGTGGAAGTTTTATTTCGATGGTTGGTAGTGCCGTGTGTCTCGTCAAAAAAGCAGCCTCAACCATTTTCTTGGACCCCCTTCTGTGGTCCTACTCTCTCCTCAGAAGTGGGAAGGGGCTAATGTGACAAGCAAGGAACCACCTTAGAGAGAATAATAGAAAATACACATCCCGGGCGGCGGTGGCTCACGCTTTTAATCCCAGCACTTGGGAGGCAGAGGCAGGCAGGTCTCTGTGAGTTCGAGGACCATCCTGGTCTACAAGAGCTAGTTCCAGGACAGCCTCCAAAGCCACAGAGTAGAGGCAAGAGGATTTCCCCAAGTTCAAAGCCAGCCTGGTCTACATAGTGAGTTCCAGACCAGCCATGGCCACATATTGAAGCATCATCTTCAAAACTAAGCAAACATAAAATACAGGAGGAGGGAGAGGGGAGGGGGAAGGAGAGGAGAGGGAACAAAATCTGCAGCTATTTTGAATAGTTAGCTCTGGTCCAGGGCTGTAAGAGGCTGATTCTGAGACTGGGATGCATTCGGCAGCAACTCTTGTGTGCTGTGGGCTTAGTACTGGTACAGTTAGCTTTCCCGGCAAATGTTTGGAATAGACAGTGTTTCCCAGTAGATACTTAGAAACACACCTGCTAAGACACCACTTCCCTGAGGACTCGTGGAGACCTATTCCTAAGACAAAAGGATCACCATTCACTCTCTCCCTGTGCCTCCTATGTTATAGAAGACAGAGCTCATAGTGTGCCCAGCCATGCCTCTGTGGTCAGTATTCCTTATTGGCTTAGCATCTAGGTTATCTTTTTCCTCTATCAAGGTGAAAGATGGTAGCCAGAATTCTCTGGATGAATTAGGCTTACCAAAAAAGTTCTACTCTAAACTGGACACTGCCTTCATCAGATCAAATTCTTATTCTTTTAACTTCAGTAGATAAAGGGTCGTCCTCTTGCCCACTTTCAGAATAAGAAAACACATGGGAGATAGTTGCTCCTGGGAAATCTCCCTAACCCACATACACAACTTAATGTCTTAAAATACTAGTAATTAGAAGTAGACAGACAAAGACTTGGATCCCAGCTTTTGATCATAATTAGTTTATAAGCCCCCAAATTGGACATTAATGACTTCATGTGGCTGCTGAGCAGACAAAAAATTCCATAAACAGAAACTTTTACTATTATGATGACGTAAAGGGAGTTGAACGGGTTGAATTTTTAGAAGCAACATGAAAAGAAAAATACCTAGACTATAGAGTGGGGATAAATGAAATGGAGCTCAGTGTCCCACAGTGAAGAGGCCACCCAGCTGCTTAGAGGCTCTCAATGGTTAAATGCATCATGGCCTTGAGCCCAGTCTCAATTTCCAAAACTCGGGAATCATTTCATACAGGGAGTTTGACTTGGACCCACAAAGTCCTAGAGATGTGTACATAGGCTAGACACCAGTAGTCAGTGAACAGGACAGATGTTAGCCTGGTAGGCACAATCCTTCTCTAGAAACTAGCTTCATGGGCAAACACCCGATCAGTAGGTACTCCTAACAGTAGGAATACTAACAGAGATGTTGGTTTTGGTACTTCAGAATTCAAGGGCAGCTGTCCATGTTGGTTAGCAGCACAGGTATACAATAGAGACACCTAAGAGAGGAACAGATATTCCTGGAAGACTGGTCCCTCTGCCAGATGGAGCCCTAAGATGTGTGGCCAGGATTCTTGCAGAGGCTCCTCTCTTGGCATTCACGCTGAACCACTTCCTTTTAGATCAACGATCCTGTAGGTATGTTTACAGCTCATATAGTTCTTAGTATTTCCAAGCTCCTGGGAAGGGCAGTTTCCATGGACAACTTTGGATGGCCTACAGGAATGATGATCTCTATTTCCTCACTTCTAAGGAAACAGGTTCAAAAAAAGGACAGCAGAAACTAGAACAGCCCCCTCCTGACTCCTCCCTTCGACCGATGCCGCTTTCCCAAAGCCTTGTTGGCAGCTGTGACCACACACTAGGTTTTTAAACCTCAATTGCACTCCAGCTTCTGCCCCTTCCTCTCTTTTTTTCTCTAATCCTTATTTGGAAGAAGAGGGGGGATTTTTGATGAATGAGATAATCTGGCAACAAATGTGGTAAAAGAAACTTTTTTCAATGATTCCCTTAACTAAACCCAGGCTCAAAACTTATCCTGGATATGGGCACAGACTGGCAGAGGAGTGGTCAGTAGAGTAGCCCTTAAGCTTCTCAGCCTTAGTTACATTTGCCGTGGCGCCTCCAACTGATGACTTAGCTGGGCCACAGGCATTTCACCAACCTGCCTTCTTTCCCAACAACAGTCACCAAAACACCAGGATTGGGACTGGAAATGTAGTTCAGTTGTTGCAATGCTTGATTTCCATGCATAACGACAAACCATGCTCAGGAGAGCCTGGGGCTATCTTTATACCTGCAGAAGACCCACAGCATTCTCTGGGTCTCCTGGGCCATTTGTTGGGTCACCTTACATGTTCCAACACAATTTTTCACTCTTTTCTAGGACAGTGATGGATTTCCAAGGTCTGAATATTTGAAGCCAAACGCCTAAGCTCTTAGGCAATTGCCTGTAACAAGGTCATTTCTTTGGCAAGTGTTGGTTGAGTGCATACTGTAGGCATCACCAATAGTTGCCTGGCAGTAGCAACATACTAAAATGCATACCACATCCTCTGAGGAAGGCATTTGCCAAAAATATTTTTCCGGTTTCATTAATCTTGAGGAAACAATCAGACCATCCACAATGTGAGACTTTCCATCAAGTAACTAACTGGACTAGACTGGTTTGTTTTGGGAGACAGAAAGCCCAGCTGCTGGCTTTCTCTTGGGAAAGAAAGGCAATGCTATTTGAGATAGACACACACACACACACACACACACATACACACACACACACAGAGAGAGAGAGAGAGAGAGAGAGAGAGAGAGAGAGAGAGAGAGAGAGAGAGAGAGAGAGAGAGAGAGAGAGAGAGAGTTCCAGGCCAGCCAAAGCACATCAGCGGAGCTATACGCCTACAGAAAACCCACAACCTTCCCTTCTCTGGGTCTGTCCTTTCCCTCTGGATTGCTGGGCTATCTGTTGGATCACCTTATATGCTATAATTGCTTATATGCTATATAAGTTATATATATGATTATGTGCATAATTATTTATTTTATATAAACAGTTCCGGTCACCCGGGCTGCTCCATGAGAACTTGTCTCAAGGAACAAACACAACAGGCTGGTTATTTGTGCATTAAATAATTACTGTCACACAATTAAGTGACCAAAAGTCAAACAGAAGGACAAGGACTGAGGTAGAAATTAACTGGCTCAGTGAACGGCTCAGTGAGTAAAGATGTTTTCAGCTCCAGTGAATTTGATCACTGATACTCACATGGTGGAAGGAGACAATTAACTCCCCAGGTTTGACCTCTGACTGCCACACACCATGACACACACTCAGCTATATACATATGCATGTACACATGCACAAAAAATGAAAACATAGGCTAATCATTAAAATACCCGTATTGCCCCACATAGTAGCTACTAGCCAAAGGTATTTAAGAGGCAGGTTGGGGGCCAGGCAGTGGTGGCGCATGCCTTTAATTCCAGCACCAGGGAAGCAGAGGCAAGTAGATCTCTGTGGGTTTGATGCCAGCCTGGTCTACAGAGCAAGTTCCAGGACAGACTCCAAAGCTACACAAAGAAACTCTGTCTCCAAAAACAAAACAAAATAAAAGTAGGTTGGCAACTGGAGAGGAGACTTTTTTTCCCTTTGGTTTTTCGAGAACTGGCTGTTTTTTCAGTGGACCCAAGTTCAATTCCCAGGAGCCACATGGCAGATCACACTTGTCTGTGACCCAGGCCCAGAGGAACCATCCCTCTTCTAGTCTTTGTAGGAACTGCATGCATGTAGTACACACACATTCAGGCAGACACTGATACAAATAAAAATAAACAACAACAAAAAATGGTTAGGTAATTGATGAACTTTTTAAAAAATTTATTCTTTTTAAATTAATTTAAATGTAAATAGCAACACATGGCTACTGAGTCCCATAATGGGCTCATCATAGTCTTGGATTATAAGAAACTTGAGAGAGTAAAGATGTAGTTCACAGAATGCTTGCCTAATATGCATGAGGCTCCGGGTTCCATTTCATCACTGCAAAAAGAAGAAACAGAGGCAGAGAGACACAGGGAGACAAATACAGACTACAGATAATAACTAAATGCCATCCATGAGCCGGCACTGGATTCTGTATCAGAGGTGGGGAGACATGAGAAAAAGTATTTGGAGACCTATAAAGAAGGAGAAATCCATATTATTAGATGATATGTTAAAATTGAGACCAATTTTCTTTAAAGTGTGAATTACTTGATCCTATAGGAAGTGCCAGGGTACATTCTACCCTAGCAGAGAAGTTATAGTGGCAGAAACTAGTAGCGTTGTGTTGACCGTCAGGAAACACAGAGCAATGAAGGCTGGTGGTCCGCCTGCTCTCTCCTTTGTATTTAGTCCCGGACCCCAGGCCATAGGATGGTGTTGCATACATGTATGTAATGTGGGTCTTCCTACCTAATTTAATCTAATCTAGAAACTCCCTCAAATTATGCCTGCAAGTCTGTTCCTGGGGGGGGGGTCCCTGCAAGTGTCATGGTAGGCAGGGAAATGAACCTGGAGAGCTGGAGAGACAAGAAGGAAAACTGCTCACCCCAACTTAGTTGGTACTTCCAGAGAGTCTAACAACAGGTAACTGCAGATTGCCACCATATTTAAGCAGTACAATTTGGAAAAGTTTCCAGGTAATAGCCATTAAAATTCCAGGTTTACAATATAGCTTTGACTGCATAGAAACTCCTTCAAAGCACATGTGACCATGAAGATGGTTCTATAGCTTAGGGCCTAGGATCTGCTGTGGTCTCTGATGGAGATAGCAGAGGTCAGAAGGCTATAAAATACGTGTGACATCTCCCCTAAGAATGAACTCTATTAACTAGAGCGAAAGATAAAAATCTAGGGATGGAAGTCTAGGATAAGCATTCTGGAGGACTTGGGTGAGGTCTGGCTCTCCAGATAGCAACGATCACTAGGTCAGTGACAATATATCTACTCCCAGTTTTCTGGGTGGAAAACGGGTATTTGTTTCCTTCATTAAGTAGACACTCCTGCATTATTAATACTCCTGGTTTCGACAGTGTTCATCTGTGAGCATGAAGACCTCCTGCCCTCTACATGGTGATTCTAAATTCTATCAAGTTGACAATCAAGACTAGCCATCGTAATTGATAAACCAGTGAAAGAGCAAAGTGGTGTGAATTTTTTTCTTCTGCAGGCTCAAAAAATTCAGGATAAAAGATGAGAAGCAAAAGTTAAAAATGAGGGAGACAGATACCCACCAAGAGAGTGGCAGTGACCGTACAAAGGTGACCACTGTTCCTGGCTTCCAAACTCCATTCCCAGTCTGTGTGAGCAATTCAGATTTCCAGAATCCACCCCCTCCTGTTTGTTTGTTTGTTTGTTTGTTTGTTTGTTTGTTTTTTCAAGACAGGGTTTCTCTGTGTAACAGTCCTAGATGTCTAGGAACCCTCTCTGTAGACCAGACTGGCCTCAAACTCACAGAGATCTGCCTGCCTCTGCCTCCTGAGTGCTGAGATTAAAGACACACACCACTATCACCCTGGCTTTTTTCAAGTTTTTTGAGACAGGGTTTCTCTGTATAACAGCTCTGGCTGTCCAGGAACTCACACTGTAGACCAGGCTGGCCTTGAACTCATAGAGACCCATCCACCTGCCTCTGCCTCTTGAGTGCTGAGACTAAATTGTGAGCTACCACCACCATCTGGCTTAGATTTCCAGACTCTAAATACGGTTTCTTGTCTCATGTTTATAACTCTCTCCCTGAGAAACTACAATCAGAATGGCATTTTAGTAAGAAGGGAAGACGCCTATCTCCATCAAAAGAGTAAGATTACTTCTTTTCTCTTTTCAAGATGTCTGAGGCCCGAACTCAGGGAGATCCACCTGTCTCTGCCCCCCAAATGCTGGGATTAAAGGCAAGTGCAACTACTGCCTAGTAAAATTTCTGATCTTTTTAAAGATTTTTTTTAATGCATTTGAGTATTTTTTCTGTATGTGAGCCACATGTGTGTCTGATGCCAGGAAAGGCCAGAAGAGGGCATCAGTGTCTATAGCAATACCACCATGAAAACATCTGATCTCATCAGCAAAGGTCGTTGGATCCCTGGAACCAGAGTTACAAGCGGTGGTGAGTTTGTGAGCTGCTGTGGGGTGCTGGGAACTGAACTTGGGTCCTCTGTGAGTGTAAGAGGTGCTGTGCTCTTCACCAATGAGCCACCCCCCCCCCAGCCTGGAATATTTGACTTCTGATTCTCTTGCTTTTGCCTCCTAAAGCGCTGAGATTATAGGCCTGTGCTGTCAAGCCTGGCCTGTGATTACTCCTCTGGCAGGAATTCTGTGACTTTGGAGAGCAACAGACTTGTGCATCTCTTAAGTCTTGACCCCCCACCTTTCTGATTTAAGAATCTGGGCCAAACACAAACCTTTGAAGTTCTCATACACTTCGCAACATTCTGTAAGTCAAATGATTATAAATGTCATGCCTGAGACAGCTCTGGCAGGGTTCAGGCCCCAAAGGCGGGGTGGAGGGGGGTGGCAAGACCCATATGATACAATCTGAGGTTGAATTGGGATGACTGCCTGTTTATTGAAAAAAGAGTGCTGTGAGTTCAAGGCCAGCCTGGCCTACAAAGAGAGTTCCAGGACAGCCAAGGCAGTTACACAGAGAAACCCTGTCTCAAAAACACAAAAACTGGAAAAAAAGAAAAAAGAAAGAAAATAATACACCTTTTATACTCTATAGTGCACATAAGATTAAGTGAGAGAAAAGAGGCATATGAGCTGGGGTGTGGCTTGAGATCAGGGATTGAGGAAGCTAACATTGACCTTAACACAGTCATAGACACCAGTCATATGTTAATAGAAGGGCCACAAGTTCCTCTTGCCACAGATAAGAATGACTCCTTTTTTAGCAAGCAGGAACTTTCTTCAAGCCCCTGAGAGAATGAGAATTTTTGTTTAAATATCTGATCTTGAGAAAGGAGCTCTCTTGGGGGATCAGACACTCCATTATAGAATATTACAGTGTTTTGTATTACTTAGTTTATCCAAAAGCTAAAGCTTAAAGTGAGCAAAGACAAAGGTAGACAAATATTACTGTGAACCCAACTAGACCTTAGGAATTTATAAATCTTGATTATCAAATATACCTTATTTATCAAGAAAATATTATTTATCAAACATACCTTATTTATTAGGCAGCAAATGTTAAATTTCCTAACAGCTTGATGTTAACTTGTATGGGAGTAGGCAGAGTTATCATGATATATGGTTCCATGGGGATTTTTTTCCAAAGAATTATTTTGTTTAGGGAGGCTGCCATTTTATTGATTCTCATCCTTTAAAGCCCGAACAAAATTTCCCAAAGGAAAAGGCATAAGGGAACTCCCATTACACATAGTGAGAATCACCAAAAATGAAAGCCAAAGGCTACTGGAGAATTATGATCTGAAAAGTAGAAATGCTGGGACTTTGTCAAGCACCAATGGTCACCATACGGTCCACACCACTGTCACATAATTTCAAAAATATGTATTCTTGGAAACCTTATTATTTTTATGTATATGGGTGTTTTGCCTGCATGTATGTGCAACACCTGTGTGCAGTACCTGCAAGACCTGCATTACAGGTGGCTGTGAGCCACCAATGCAGGTGCAGGGACTTAAACCTGGGTCCTCTGGAAGAGCAACCAGGTGCTCTTAACCGCTGAGTCATTTCTCCACCCCAGTTGTTACATAATTAAGTAACCCAGTGTCAAACTGACCAGCACTCGGGAGGCAGAGGCAGGCGGATCTCTGTGAGTTCGAGGCCGGGCTGGACCGATAGCCTCCGAAACAATACAGAGAAACCCTGTCTCGTAAAAAAAAAAAAAAAAAAAAGAAAAAGAAAAAGAAAGAAAGGAAGGAAGAAGAGAAAAGAAGAGGGTAGAGTTTGTGCCTGGATTTAATTCCCCAAAACTACAAAATTGGGTGTGGATACGGAAGAATCGCAAGTTCAAGTTCAACATGTAGGTCGTTGAGGCCAACTTAGCCTACAGAAAACCCTATCTCAAACAAACAAACAAAAAAAAACATTTAAAAAAAAGTGGAGCTTATCCTACCAGCCACAGCTCCTATCTAAAGGTCAGACAGGACAGAAAAATTACAGGTAGGAACATTAAACATATTTTCCAATCAGTTTATGATTATTCAGAAACAATAGCAGCAACAAAAGGAAATGACCCGGTGCTGGTGTAAGAAAATGTGGAAGTGTGAATGGGGAACTCTCTCTTGTTTATTCTGTACTGCTATTGCCAAGGCTAGTTTTAAGGTTTTTTTCTTGGTGACTTTTGGCAGATTTTTCTAAGGATTGATCTCTTGGGACAAATGTCCCTGAATCTGCCAGTTATTGGTTATATGGGAAACATGATATCGAATTTACATGGTTACAGATTTGACTGGGTAGTTGAGACAAGAAGCAGAGAATTCACTTGGAACATGATGGAGTAGTTTATCTTAGTGTTATAAAACCTTAAAAATGTGATAAAACCTTCTGGAAACCTGTAAAGTGTGATGAAAAAAAACATTTGGGGGACAGATTTAGGCAGAAGAGATCATGGCCTATGTAGTTCAAGTTGGTCCGCGAAGTTGCTTTCAAACCCCTTGTAGGAAGGGGTGGAGGAATCCTTGAACACGCTATGTTACAGAAGATGATGACCTTGGATTTTCTGATCTTCCTGTCTCCATCTCCCCAACACAAGAATTACAAGCTTGTGCCACTACGCCGAATTTCAGAATTGTTTTAAAATAGATTTCTGAACGCTTGAAAGTTTGAAAACCTTGAAACTTAGCTAGGTTTGCGCAAGATAGTTAGGAAACTACATTTCCCAGGAGTCCACTCGGCAAGTCTCCACACTCACCCGGTCGCTTCATCAAGAAGTCCGCTGGGAAATGTAGTGCTTGCAGCAGCGGGGCACACATCGCTGGGGAAGGAAGGCGGGAAGTGCGCCGCCGGTGGCAGGACAGGGACCGGACAACGACTCAGCACACCCCCAATTTTGTGCGGTTGGAGAAGGGCCCAGGTCCTCTGTACCTAGCGGAGCGAGGTGCCAGTAGGGTTCACGCGCTGGCGAGCTGCCTGGAGGTCCCTGACGGGAAGGTGCCAACCGCAGGGGGTCGAGCTCGAACCTGCCCCACCCTGGCTGCGGCCGCGCCGGGAGGAAGCGCGCAGAGGCCGAGTGCAAAAGTTTCCTTTTCTGCTTTCCCGTCAGCAGAGCAGCTTCAGCTAACCGAGGGTGGGGATGCATGACTTCAGTCGGAAGAAAGCCCGGGAGCCCAAGAGGCTAAAATAAGCGACTTCCCGAAAAAAAATTTAAAAACAAACAAAAAAACCAAACCAATACAACAACAACAACAAAAAACCTCTCCCCACCGCTAGTCATGGGCAGCCGCGATCACCTGTTCAAGGTGCTGGTGGTGGGGGACGCCGCTGTGGGCAAGACGTCGCTGGTCCAGCGCTACTCCCAGGACAGCTTCAGCAAGCACTACAAGTCCACCGTGGGAGGTGAGAGGCCGCGGGCGCCGGGGAGCAGGCTTCGGGGCTTGCAGCCGGCAGCCTCCGGGTACTGGGGTCGTCTCTGGGGGCTTCCCAGCCAGTGCCAACTGCCGGCAAAGATGGGAAACGGAGAAGGTGGAGGGGTCTGAGTAGGGCTGTTCACAGCAGCCAGCAGCACCCTCCCGCAGCCATACGCTGCCCTGAGCAACTTCTCCAATCGGCAGAGGCCGTGGTTCAAGTGCAAGCTGAGGAGGGTTATCCTGTGTCTCACCAACATGAGACAGGTGTTGAGGAAGGTACCGACTTGAGCTGAGGAGGAGAGCCCAGGGGCTAGGCAGTCAGAAGGACCGGATGTGGGGAAGATTGGGAGACAGATTCTGGTCAGGACTGATGAGCCCTGTGGGTTGCTTTAGTAAAGATAATTCGTGGGCTTCGTGGGAAATTGTGAGGAATTCAAGCAAGAATGTGAAATACACTCCGAGTGGCCTGTCTTCCCACCCTTCTTCTCTCACGCTGGGGAAGGGAGGGAGGAGGGAAAGGAACTCCAAAAGTTAATTAATTTCTTTCCTAGTGTGGCCTTTGAACCTAACTGAGCTGTACCCCCCCACACACACACACACACAACCACTGCAAGTAGAAGTTAGTTAACCATGTGGTGATGGGAAAGACTAACCTAAAACAAAAATACAAATTTTTATTTAAAACTCGCACCAACATAGATTTTGAAAGCATGTGCCAGTGTTCATATAAAAGTTGTTTTTGCATTAACTATTTACTCCGAAATGAAAACTTTAAAAAATATTTGGCCAAGTATGGGAGAGATGACACAGTGGGTAACGGAGCTTTATGCCAAGCCTGACGCCTGAGCTGGAGTCCCCAACCCCACAAGATGGACAGAGAAGAGACTCCCAGCATCTGTCTTCTGACCTCCGTGGGAGCACTGTGGCATGAGCATCCACAGACACACACTGTAAAACATTATCATTTTTCAAGAGAACCTGACAAAACTAAGGGCTTACTTAGCATTTCAAAGACTGTGTTCCTAACTACTTTGCTCCAAAATATGAGTCACTGTTTCATGGATTTGGGTTGAAAGTGTTCTTTGAATTAATTCTTAGTTTTCCTACAGCATGAATATAATCGATTCTGGCAAGTTTGGGTTTGTTTGTTTCCCAGCGTTTGTTATACATTCTCCCTAGTTTTTACTTCGGTCACAGATGTAGAAGAGTATGTTTTCAAACTGAAACTGCTGTTTGTCTCCTTGACAAATAGCTTTTCCTGCACAGTGTGGCTTCCTGTGCCTTTAGCTCCACACTCGGGAGGTGGGGCAGCAAGACCTCAAATTGGTGCTAACCTGCACTGCACAACGTTGGGAGGTTCCCCACGGATAGTTAGTGGTTCAGCCCAAGGTCATGGAGTTTTAGCATCTCCAGACCCCATGACAGATTCCAGGACAGCTCTTAAACTTCATCCTCTGGAACCTTTTCAATTATCCCATTGTGTCTGCCTGACACAATTACGAACGCTTATGGAGGACAGAGAGTTTTTTGCTGTGTTTTCTCATCACACTATTTGATTAGATACCAACAGTGACGTTGAATGTGGAAGATACAAAACTAACCACACCTCAACTTCATTTCCTTCATCTGCCCATCATCTTTTCCTTGAGAAAACCCCCTAAGAACTCCCAAAGGTCATTTAACCTGCGAATAGGAATTATTTCCATAGTCACTCCCACTTGCCTGTTCCTAGTCATGGAGATAACGAGTATCAAATAACTTGATCTGATGACGGAGGAGAAAACACTGAATGGCTATGAATTATGTGTCCTTCACTGATACACTGTGTGGACTCATCTCCATTTATTGAAGGCTTAAATCTAATTGGAGTTTCAAGATCCAGGGGTTGTCATTGTGTATTTAATCTGAGCTTATCCCTGGTTTTGTTGTTGTTGGTTTTTTTGTTTGTTTGTTTTTGTTTTTGTTTTTTGAGACAGGGTTTCTCTGTGGCTTTGGAGGCTGTCCTGGAACTAGCTCTTGTAGACCAGGCTGGTATCGAACTCAAAGAGATCTGCCTGCCTCTGCCTCCCGAATGCTGGGATTAAAGGTGTGTGCTGCCACCACCCAGCACTTATCCCTGTTTTGGTTTTGATTTTTAAAAATAAAACACATTTATTTTGTGTGTATGTATGTATGCATAATGACATCCATGTCGAAGTCAGAGGATAATTTGTAGGGTTTAGGTTGTGGGGACTAAATTTGGGTTGAGAGGCTTGGCAAAAAGTACCTTTAGCTTACCCACAGAACCATCTCACTAGCCCATCCCTGGATTTTTTTTGAAAGGCAGATTTTTATTAAAGTATACTATGCATATATTTTCAGTGGACTTTGCTCTGAAGGTTCTCCAGTGGTCTGACTCAGAGATGGTGCGGCTTCAATTGTGGGATATTGCAGGTAAAAGGGAAAGATAAGATGGGAACAAGGGAAGAAATTATTTAACCAGCAGGCTGCCTGGGGTGGGGTGGAGGTAGTGTGGAAAAGGAATGGCAAAACCAGTATCTTTTTTTCCCCCTGAAGCTGCAAGTTTGAGCTGCTCTGAGCTTTTGAGGTGATTTTGGAGATGTCCTGCCCCAGAGACAAAGAGATGTGGTGCCATCTCTATGGGTGCTGCTAAGGAGGCAGAGCATCCAGGCCACCCACGGATGGATGCTTCCCTAGTAGGAGGGTGCCCTCTGCATCTTCAGCTGACTTTAGTGAGAAATAAGAGCTCCAGGAAATAAGACAATGACCACGGGGAATCCTTATTATGTGCTGTTCTTCCAAGTATTTCAAATTGACTGGTTCACTAACTTTGTCATGAAAGCTTTTATCATACTAGACACAGGACAGATCTGAAGTGCTCAGCCTGATTTTCATAAAGTCACATAGATGATAAGTGGCAGATGGGGATGTGGACATTGCAATTTGGATACAGAATCTGCAGTGGAAGTGATTGAGTTTACTAATCCCTTAATGGGATAGATAGAGTCAGAAGGGAGAGGTAAGGGCCCTCTCTGATGTATACAAAGATGCCCTGTCCTACAGTGAAGGGAGAGTAGAGGGTATCGGAGAGGGTGACCACTCCAGACTCACCTTTTGAGAGCCTTCTCTTCCTTCCAGGACAGGAGCGGTTCACCTCTATGACACGACTATACTATCGAGATGCTTCTGCCTGTGTTATTATGTTTGATGTCACCAATGCCACTACTTTCAGCAACAGCCAAAGATGGAAACAGGATCTGGACAGCAAGCTCACACTACCCAGTGGAGAGCCAGTGCCCTGCCTACTCTTGGCCAACAAGGTGTGTGGCCAGTTTAAGTAAATGGCCCCTGGCATCTATCAGTGGCTAGAGTAAAGGTATCTAAAAGGCTCTGTGTTTCTGAACATGCATATCCTCTTTCACTTTTTTGTTTTTTAAGCTAGAATCTGTATAGACAAGGCAGACCTAAACTAACAGTTCTGCTTCTGTTGTCCATTACCATAATTAGTGCCACTATGTCTGGCCACCAGCATGCCAGCATGCCTGTTTGTCCCTTTCAAGTTGGCAGTCACCTCCACTTTCTTTTGAAGAGATATTGAGAAAGTGACTTTCTGTTTGTTTTTTTCTGTCTTACATTTTGTGTGGAGTATGTTTTGTCTGCATGTATGTTTATACATCATGTGTGTTCCTAGTGCCCAAGGAGACCAGAAGAGGGTGTCAGACTCCTTGGATCTAGAGTTACACAACACTACGAGCTGGCACGTGGGTGCTAGGACTTGAACCTGGGTTCTCTGAAGAGCAGCCAGTGCTCTAACTGCTAAGCCAACTCAACATTCCTGAGAGTGACTCTTTTGTTTTAAAGGGAGACTCTTGACTGCAGATTTTAGATGTTGGTGGTCTCAGTCATTGTTTGAAAATTGTTCTAAATGTACAGATTCCTATGAAGATTATGGTATTGTCACTTATATATTTCCTTTGTCAGAGTGATCTGTCCCCTTGGGCAGTGAGCAGGGACCAGATTGACCGGTTCAGTAAAGAGAACGGTTTCACAGGTTGGACAGAAACATCAGTCAAGGAGAACAGAAATATTAATGAGGCCATGAGGTGAGTAGCTCTTGGTGTTCTGGGGACACACACACAGACTGTGACCCTCTTTTCTGATTTCTGAGCAAACAAGTACAGATGAAGCCACTGGAATGCCAGTGTCCCAAAGATAATTGAGGACAAAGGGGTGCTTAAACCTGGTGTCCTTCTGGAGTTCTGCCTGGTGATAAGACAATGCCAACTGTGTCTTCCTTTTCACTGTCTACCTTCTAGGGCCTTACTTTTCTTATTTTCTTTTTTAAAAGAGTCCTTGTTGAAAAGATGATGAACAATTCCAGAGAAGATATAATGTCTTTGTCCACTCAAGGGAACTACATCAATCTCCAAGCCAAGTCCTCCTCTGGCTGGACATGCTGCTAGTTCTGTTTTCCAGGTAGGTCTCCGAGTCTTCCCACCTCTTGCTGTTGGTTGCCCACCAAACATAAAAAGCCTGGAAGAACATTTGAACTGCTTCTTGTCAGCTGCCCAGAAAGGAGGCCCATTGGGACTTGGGAAAGGGACCTATGTGCACTTTGGTTGCTCTTGGATGTTGCCTCTGACTTACTGATGGCCCGTGTAGTCCAGTTAGACTTCCTATGTGACAGTGATCACCTCATCCCCTAACTGTGGCATGAGTTTATGGGAAGGATTTAAAATTAGCACCTGTGTGTTTGTTTGTGTTTGTGGTGTTGGGGATTAAACTCGGGGCCTTGTACATGCTGGGCAAGCACATTGCTACTGATGTACATCCTAGCTCTAGCATCTGGGTTTGAAAATAACTCTCAGGGCCAGCAAGGTGGCTCAGTGCATAAAGGTATTTGCCACCCAGCCAGAAAACCTGAGATCAGTCCCTGGGGCCACGTGTTGGAAGGACTGGCTCATATAGACTTGTCCTGTGACTTCCACACACTCACCATGGCACACTCATGCTCTCACACATACAGAGTAAATAAGTAAATATCAAAAGTACAAATAAAATAATTCTCAAAGACACTTGTGGTGCATATGCCTAGAATTCTAGTAACTAGTTGGCTGAGGCAGGAGGATTAAACTTGATTGGACAATTTGATCTATATAGCATAAGATCCCATCTTTAAAACGAATAATAATAGCACTATAAGGTTAGTTCTCACCAATATTTTGAGATTTTTTTTCTAGTTGATGTAGAAAAACACCATGAGCTCAGACTGAGGGGAAATAAGATCAGATAGCCTTTCAACCAAATTCCATTTTCTTTCAGATTCTTCCTGTATTGGATTTGACATTTCAACATTAGATTCTGGAGTGCATTAGATATCTACTGGTTTAGGGCTATTGTGGTGAAACAGGATCACTGTATATCTGATGTTTTAGTCATAATTAACTTTACCTTGTCTTGGCTTCAAGCATAGTCAAGCTTTGGGCTGGAGAGAGGGTTCAGCAGTTAAGAGCATTGCTGCTTTTAGGAAGAAGAGGAACTTGACCTCCAGCACCCACGCTGGTGACAGTCACACTGGTGGCACTCACACTGGTGACTGACTGGCGATCACCTGTAACCCCAGATGCAAGGGGATTTGTCACCTGTGTTCAAATGCATGTACAGACATGCACATGCATACATGACATGCACATACCTATACATAATTAAAAATACATCTAAAAAGCAAAGCAGCAAAACAAGGTCATCTTCAGTCACATTTTTTAAAAAAGTCAAACTTTTGGCTAGGAGTAGTAGTACTCCTCTGTAATCCCGCCACTTGGAAGGCCAAGGCAGGAGAATTTGAGACCAGTCTGTGCTACTGAATGAGACTATGTTTGAAAACAATAAAAAGAGCCTGGAGAGATGGCTCAGCTACTCTTCCAAGGGACTAAGGTTCAATTCCCAGCACCCATGTGGCGGTTCACAATGGACTGTAACTCCTGTTTTCAGGGGATCTGACGCTCCCTCCGGCATCCTCGGACATTGCACTGCATGAAGTGCAGAAATACATGCAGGCAAAACACCCATGTGCATAAAATAAAGGTTAAAAAGCCAACAATAACAGAAACACTTCAGCTGTAAAACTACCTATTGGCTTTTGAAACGGGATCACACTGTATTGTCCAGGCAGCTTCACTCTCCCAAGTGTTCTGATACAAAGCTAGCACCACTGATGCCCGTTGCCCAGCCTTTTCTCACCTCGAGATTCTCAATATTGCCATCTTCAGATAGTGTTCTGACTACAGCTATCCTCTCCTGCCTCCCCTTGGTTTTTATAGAAAGCACCTTAACATTCACCCAGGCAGACTCTAAACCACAATCACCTCGCTTCAGTCTCCTGAGTGCTTGGATTAGAGGTGGACACCATCACTGCCAGGCCTAACTGTGGTGGTTGTAGAGACAGAAATGTAATGGAGGATGTCCTTCTGTGTCTATGTTTCTCTTATTGGTTGATGAATAAAACACTGGCCAATAGGGGCAGGAAAATAGGCGGGACTAGGAGACTAAGAGAATTCCAGGAAAGGTAGGCAGAGAGGCGCCGCAAAGAGACATGTAGAGACTGGGAGGATAGGACACACCAGGTGTTCTCTGGTAAAATAAGGCCATGTATAAATACATAGATTAGTAGCTATGGGTTAATAATTAAGACAGAGCTAGCCAATATGAAGCCCTAGTCATCAGTCAACGATTTTGTAATTAATTTATCGTCCATGTGTTTCTTTGGGGTTGAGAGGGGCAGCGGGACCTGGTAGGACAAGAAACTCCAGTAAGAGAAATGTCTTAACAAATTTCATTTATGTGAAGAGAACATTGATTTTTATGAACTTATTTGAATGACTGAAAAAATTACAGATGGGAACTCGGCTTTGTATTCATGGTAGGTAGTACTTATTGGCCTTTAGTATATGTTTGTTAAAGAGCTGTTTATGCTATTTATTCAAGAGTATTGTGAAAATGGAAAGGATCTTTTTCTTTTTTGGCCTTTTGAGATGAGGTTTTGTATCAGGCCAGTATCAAACTTGGTATTTAGCCAAAAATGACCCTAAGCTTTGTATTCTCCTGCCTGTACCCCCCCAAATTCTGATATTTCAGGTGTCTTCTATCACATCCAGTCTTTGTAGACCTGGGGCTGGAATCTAGGGCATCATGCATGTTAGACAGACTCTCCCTCTGAGCTACATCCTCAGCCCACTACCCTGTTTTTAAAAGAGTACAAACACTCTGTTAATTTATTAATGCTGGCTGCTTAAGTACAATGGCCTGTAATGATGCAATTCCTTTCTTGTTTATTTTTATTGCTTTTTTGAGACATGGTTTCTCTGTGTAGCCTTGACTGTCCTGGAACTTACTCTGTAGACTAAGCTGGCCTCAAACTCAGAGATCTGCCTGCCTCTGCCTCCCTAGTGCTGGGACTAAAGGCGTGTGCCACCATCCCTGTTGTAGAATATTAGTTAAAGATGTATTACATTCTTGTATGCTATGGAACACTTGATTAATGATGCAAAGATGTGTTGCATTTGTTTAATTCTGGGAAGCTGTATTACTTTGCCTGCCTAAAACACCTGATTGGTCTAATAAAGAGCTGAACTGCCAATAGCTGGGCAGGAGAGAGAAATAGGTGGGGGTTGGTAGGCAGAGAGAATAAATGGGAAGAAAAAAGAATCCAGGAGCAAGAAAAGGAGTGACAACACCACGGGTCAGCCACCCCGCTACACAACAAACCATGGAGTAAGAAGTCAAGAAAGGTATATAGAATAGAGAAAGAGGCTGACTGTGGTGGTGCACACCTCTAATGCCAGTACTCTGGAGGCAGAGACAGGCAGATCTCTGTGAGTTTGAGGCTACTCTATCTACAAAACGAGTTCCATGTCAGCTTCCAAAGCTAAACAGAGAAACCCTGTCTCGAAAAGAAAGAGATAAAAGCCTAGAGGCAAAATGTAGACAGGATAATTTAATTTAAGAAAAGCTGCCTAGAAAGAAGCCAAGCTTAGGTCAGGCATTTATAAGTAAGAGTGAGACTCCGTGCGTATTTATTTGTGAGCTGGGTGGTGGGCCCCAGGAGAGTAAAGAATACAATAGCATAAGAGTAAAAAAACCAACTACAATGCCCAGCAAATGATTCAATTCTTTTTTTTTTAAACATTTATTTATTTATTATGTATACAGCATATGTTTGTATGCCCGCAGGCCAGAAGAGGGCACCAGATCTCATTACAGATGTCTGTGAGCCACCATGTGGTTGCTGGGAATTGAACTCAGGACCTCTGGAAGAGCAGGCAGTGCTCTTATCCTCTGAGCCATCTCTCCAGCCCGATTCAATTCTTTTGTTGTTGTTGTTGTTGTTGTTGTTTTTCGAGACAGGGTTTCTCTGTATTGTTTTGGAGGCTGTCCTGGAACTCGCTCTGTAGACCAGGCTGGCCTCGAACTCACAGAGATCCGCCTGCCTCTGCCTCCCGAGTGCTGGGATTAAAGGCGTGCGCCACCAACGCCCAGCCCATGATTCAATTCTTAATAAAAAGAAAGAAAAAAAGAAGAAAGAAAAAATACCATCAATACTGCTTGAAGATATAACCATTCTTTGTTGTTGTTTTATGATATTTTTCCCCTTGAGATGGGGTCTTATGTAGCTCAAGTTTGCCTAAAACTCCTGATCTCCTGCTGGGTTTACAAGCATGTACTATGCCTGGCTGTGACCATTTTAAAAGATGAACATTCTTTCTTTCCCATTTGTTGACTCAGGGTCTACATGCCTTTTTGAGCATTGCTAGAGGCTGGCTTGACAGTTTGTCTAGGTTTTCTCTCATAATTGGGAGACATTATAATCCTAATCCTCATTAAAGGAGGACCTGAGGGCCTAGGAGAGGCCTCGGTGGGTAAAGACACCACACAGGCCTACCAGCCTGAATTTACTCCCAGGGCCCATATGAGAAGCCCTGCATTCCCTGTGGAAAGATGTCAGGTAGAAACAGTGGGCCCACAACTAGCAGACTGGATAGTATGTAGCACATAGTGCAGCATAGGCCAGAAACCCTGTCTCAAAATCAAGGTGGAAGGGGAGAACTGACTCCTAAAAGTTTGTCCTCTGACCTCCCCAAGCACACTGGAGTGCATGTACCTGCACATACATACAATGACCAGGCTGGTCTCGAACTCATAGAGATCCACCTGCCTCTGCCTCCCCAATGCTGGGATTAAAGGCGTGTGCCACCAATGCCTGCCATGGAGGCATTTTCTAAATTGAAGTTCTCTTTTTCCAAATGACCCTAGTTTGTGTCAAGTTGACAAAAACAAAACACAACACTGACCATCATGTTAATATACTTAGAATATGAACACTGGGCCGTGCTATGTTTTACTCTGGCCTTTTTGAGGGGCCTACCACCCAGCTCCCAAATAAATCACACACGGTGGCTTATTCTTAGACATGAATGCCCAGCCTTAGCTTGGCTTGTTTCTTGCCAGCTTTTCTTAAATTGTCCCATCTACCTTTTGCCTCTGGGCTTTTATCTTTCTTGCTTCTGTATATTTTACTCTCCTTCTTACCCCAGGGCTGGCTGTGTGGCTGGCCCCTCCTGTCCTCCTCTCCTTGTCCTCTTACTGCTCTTCTTCTGCCTCATTCCTTCTGTTTATACTGTCTGTCTGTCTGTCTGTCTGTCAGGTGTCAGACACGCCTATCCTTGCTCCTGCCTCACTATTGGTTGTTCAGATCTTTATTGGGACCATGAGGTGTTTTAGACAGGCAAAGAATCACAGCTTCACAGAGTTAAATTTATTTGGCATAAACAAAAGTCACATACCTGCAAATACTATTCACACATTGGACTAGGGAGGTGGCTCGGTCACTAAAGTGCTTCCCTTGCAAGTGTGAGGACTTAAGCACTCACTCACATAGCAATCAGGGCAGGCAGCATGTGCCTTGGGCTTGCTGGCCTGCCACTCCAGCTACTCAGTCCATCTCGTCTAAGGACAAGATTCCCCTCCAGACAACACATATATTCTCTCCCTTTCTCAAATAGGAGACAAAACTATGAACAGAAATGTGTTATAATCCCCAGAGCACTCTGCCACACAGTACCATGTGGAGTCTGCTAGAGACAGAGAGAAATGAGCACTTTACCTTGCAACGCAGCATAGCTGTGCCAGCAATTCATTCCCTAAGTATTGTTTTACCTCTTTGTCTATCACTTAATTTCTACTCTTGCGAATATGTCTCCTGATGGCTTCGCTTTGTTTGTGCATTGCTTGGTTAGGTTTTAGGACTGCTGTCTGTTTCTCCACCAGTCTACTGTAGGCATTCTCTACTATACCCCAGCCACATCCCATACAGCCCTTATTCCTGTATATTTTCTACTTTCTTGTGTCCTAAAGCCTGCTCTTTTTACTGATTAATTATAAACTTCTGTTACCTTTAACAATCTCCAACAGGATCCCAACTTTCCCTTCCTAGCTGTTTTTTATGTGTTTTTGATTTTTGAGACAAGGTTTCTCTGTATAACAGCCCTAGCAGTCCTGGAACTAGCTCTGTAGACCAGGCTGATCTTGAACTCACAGAGATCTGCGTGCCTGTGCCTCTGGAGTGCTGGGATTAAAAGAGTGTACCACCGCTGCCCAGCTCCAAGCTATATTTTACAGATCTCAATTTTCTTTGCTTTTTTTTCAAGTTAATCTGATACTTTCTCCTCCTTACAATTTCTAGTTCCTAATCTTGCCAACAAAAATCCAGGTCTACTCCACACCGTCCTTGGTTGTTTGCCCTCCAATAGTTATTGAAGATGAGGGGCCATTGTTATTGATCAGCTAGTGTACGGTGGCAGTATCAAACAGATGCAGTTATTCTCCTAGCCCATACCTTACTCAGAAGATAATACAGAGCTACACCTGGAGTCCAGAGCTCCTGGACGGAGGAATTATTTTCTTAACTACATAGTCAACACTACTACATCCAAGTCCCACTTGAACACTGCCAGTATGTCAACTGAAGAATACAGCTAATAAAAAAATAATAATAAATCGGATGGTGGTAGTACATGCCTTTAATCCCAGCAGAGGCAGGTAGATCTCTGTGAGTTCGAGGACAGCTTGTTCTACAGAGTGAGTTCCAGGACAGCCTCCAAAGCTAGTGTCTGAAAAACTAATTATGATGATGATAATAATAACAATAATAATAATAATAAGTCAAGCAAAGAAAAATGACCAAATGTGTAAATCTAAAGAAAAACCAATCTGAAATGCTATAAATAAATAAAAAACAGCAAGTCAAATAAAAAACTATGTTAAGTCTCAGCAATAGAGCAGATGAGGGAGAGGATAGAGTCTCTGCACTTGACGACAAGATGGGAGAACTGGAACAGTTCAACAAGGGCAAAGATAAAATAAGAAAATTCCAGTGGGAATTCCAAGAGATATGAGATACTCTGAAAAGACCAAAACCATGAGGTATAGGCACAGAGAAAAATCTCACCCTAAAGTCATACATCTTCAAAAGAATCATAATAGAAAACTTCCCAGAGTTAGATGTCACTCCAGATACTCCTCTTGTCAGTTATAATTAAAACACTGAATATACAGACCAAAGGAAGCGTGTTGAAAGCATAAAGAAACATCAACTCACATGTAAAGGCAGGTCCATCAGGATAACATGAAATTATTCATCTGAAATATTAAAAGCAAGAAGTTGCTTGGAGTGATGTATTTCAAATTCTGAAAGATAGCGGCTACCAACCCAGAATACTATGCTATCTGTCAGAATTAAAGGACAATAAAAAACTTTCCAGTATAAAAATAGACTAAAGGAATTTGTGATTACTAAGCCAGCTCTGCACAAGAGAGTTGAGGGAATCCTTAAAGAGGAAAAACAAGGCCACAGGAAAGAATAAATCATACTGGAATAATAATAAGCAATAGAGGCAAAGCAAGGAGCAAACAGCACAACACAATCAACACAATGGCAGCAATCAGCACTTAACCTTCAGAGATAATTGTCAATATTAATAGTCTCAATCCCTCAAAAGACGTAGACAGTATATTGGATCCAAAAAGCAGAAGCTGCCGGGCGTTTGAGGTGCACGCCTTTAATCCCAGCACTCGGGAGGCACAGGCAGGCGGATCTCTGTGAGTTCCAGACCAGTCCGGTCTACAGAACGAATTCCAGGACAGGCTCCAAAGCAATGCAGAGAAACCCTGTCTCAAAAAAACAAAAACAAAACAACAACAACAAAAAGCAGAAGCTTCCAAGAAACACACCTTGCTATATTACCTTATGGTGAAATGGTGGAAAAAGGTATTCCAAACAAATGGTCCTAAGAAACAAGCCAATGTTGCTATTAAAATATCTGACAAAATAGCAGCTATAAAGAAAAGTGAAATTTGCAAGAGAATGGATTGAACTGTAAAATACTATATTAAATGATACAACCCAGGTCTAAAATGACAAACGGCACATGTTCATCTCATGCGAATACTAGCTTTGAATTTTTAGATATGTGTGCTTAATTTGCAGAGCTCAGGAAGCTAGACAGGGCCCATGAGGGAGTGGATAGTAGAACACATATGAAAATAGGAGGAGGGAATACTGGGGACTAAAGATTTAAGCAGGGATAGCAGTTTAGAGACAGGAGAGAAGGGAGTAAGAGTAGCAAAGCTAATAGTATATGGAAATCAACCGCTTTGTGAGCTAATTAAAAATATGACTTTTTTTAGGTTTTATTTTTTATGTGTGTCAGTGTTTTACCCGCTTGTATGTATGTGTGTGCATAATGTGCACGTCTGGTACTCTGGGAGTTTGGAAGAGAGCATCAGTCCTCTGAACATAAAGTTAGAGACGGTTGTGGGCCACCATATGGGCACTGGAACTCAACTGGATCCTTTGCAGCAGCAACAAGCAGTTTTAAACCATTTGAGTAGAGGGGCTGAAGAGGTGGCCCCATGACCAAGAACACCTATTGCTCTTGCAGAGAACTCAGGTTTGGTTCCCACAATACACATGGTGGCTCCCAAACGTCTGTAACTCCAGTCCAAGGGGATCTGATGCCTTTCTTGGTCTCTGCAGGTACTGTATAAGTGTGATGCACAGACATACACAAAAGAAAACACCCTATATATAAGAAATAAAAATATATATTTAGAAGAGTTTTAGTACAGGTATTCTGCATGTGTGGACTACGCTCCTCCCAGAATACACGAGTGATTGAGTGAAAATCTCATTTCTGGGTGTGTAGTATTTCCCTGTAAATTATTTGTCAGGGAACTCCAGAAGCCCCAAAACAATAGAGGCTTGCCACTGCTCTTGGTCGTCCACCAGAACTAGATAATAAGACTCTGTTGATGAAAATACAACATACTTTAGTTGCAGGACATAATGAAACCGAGCTGAAATTGACATGATAGCTTTCATAGTGGATAGCTTTCATAGTGAATAGCTTCCATCGGGCCAGGCAAGGCTACACAGACAGATGAGGGAGAAAAGCCACCAGTAAACCTCATACCACAATTCTGGAATGCCAATCAACATATGCCCACTGGCATAATAGTGGCACAAAGGTTATGAGAGTAACTGACTACTTTGGGATTGGATTTGAGGCCTGTCCCACAGGAGGAAATTCATGCCTGCAAACTTTGTCAAAAGTCTGAGGCTTGGAAGGCCTTAGTCCCTAGTGGGGAACATACTACAGTTATCTCACCAAATAGACATGCTGCCAAGCTGCCTGCTAAACATTTATGTTCATACACATAGATTACTGTTGCCCTCAACATAAGTCAGAGAAGCTTGTCTCTGCAGTGGTTAGCAGTTAATGTAGACTGATAACTGTCAAATTGCTAAGTGATTACTGAGGGCTCAGCCCCCAATAGGACATCTGTTATCAGCCACCACTACCACCTACCCTGATCAAAGGCCCAGTGAATATCAAAGAAGAAGGATCAGAAAGAACATGAGGGCTGGAGGATTGAGAAGAAAGCTGTGAAATGCCATCTTCTGGACAGGACGAGGGCATTGCACTCGTGAACTCACTGAAGCTATGGCCACCTTCACAAGATCAAGCTAACTACATCAGTCAGGCAGCAGCAATTGAACTCACTGGGTTTTCAGAGGAAAAAGAGAGAGAAAGAAGACATAAGAAGTGTAGAGGGGGATGTGTTGGGGATGCATGGGAGGAGTAGGGATGAGTGGGGATGATGAAGACAAGATACATTGTTTAAAATAAAGACTTTCTATTTATAGAGATACATTATTTAGAATAAAGCCCCCTCCAACCACTCAGGTAATTTTTGGCCAATAAGAAAATGCAAGAATTCTCTACATTGTTTTCTGAAAACTCCAATGAATGACTGAGAACAGGGCTGCCCTGGCTTTGTTCTTTGAACAGGAGGACAGGTGACTAAATAAACAAAGGAGAATAGCCGTGGGGCAGCCAATTGGGGCCATCAGCATCTGAGTGAAGATTTGTTCTTTATCTTTACTAAGTATCCAGGATTATTCCACAAGGCTTCCGTAAGTGACTGGTAAGGTGCAATTGAATTCCTCATCCTTAAATTTCCCTCCCTGTTTTGTTGTTGTTATTTGAGTCAGAGTCTCAATGTGTAGCACAATTTGGCCTAGAACTCACTATGCAGTCCAAATTGGTCTCAAACTCTAAGCAATCCTTTTGCCTCAGCTTCCTGAATGCTAAAATTACAGGCGTGAGCATTGTCTCCAAATTAACTTCATTCGTTACATGGTCTGTCTTGCTTCTTTGGGGCACTGCCCCATTCTTTCTGGGGGTTTTCTTTTCTTTTTTTCTTTGTAGCTCTAGCTGGCCTACAACTCACTAAGTAGACCAGGCTGGACTCAAGCTTCAAGAGATCTGAATGCCTCGACCTTTGCCTCCTGAGTTCTAGAATTCAAGGCATGTGCCACCATGCCCAGCCAATGAGGCTTTTCTTATCTGCCATCCTTTTGTATGCAGTAAGCTGCATTTGACACGATCTAAGAGCACGATTATAAGATGAAATTCTGTAAAATCTGGTGAGCCAATTGCCCAAGGAAACAAACCTCAGTGTTACCTAGGATTACTAGGTACCAGAAGATTCCTCGACTAAGTAAATTACTCACCACTAAATAGAGTCAAGCAAGATGTCACAAATCTACAACTCAGGAAGCTCAGGTAAAACTGCAAGTTTCAGGCCAGCCTGGGTTACAAGACAAGACCCTGTCTCAATAGATAACAGTAATCATCATCGTCATCATCACAAAATAACTCCCAAGGCTGCAAGTGGGGGAGGAAAGAAGTCACTAGAAAACCATCCATCAGAACTCTCCATGTATTTGCCATTCAGACATAAATACCAGAAAATGCAGACTCTGTCTAGATATGACCTGGTAGGAAAATTCTGCTGTAGTTTCGAGAGCAATCTGGAGAGTTTCTGCATGATAGTGGTGCGTGTACCTGTTATACGGAACTGTCTCACATGAGATTGTGAATGCTAGTGAGTCCCAACATCCAGTTCCAGCGTGGGTTCTGAAGGCCAGAAAACTGGGAGAGCCATTATTCCAGTCTCATTGAAGGATGTCAGGCAGGGCTCTCTCAAGCTTGAGAGAAAGCAGTCTTTTGTTCTACCGGGGCCTTCAGCTGATTGGCTGAGGCTTCCCCACATTAGGGAGAGCTGTCAGTCTGCTTTACGCAGTCTACCAAGAGCATTTGGCCAAATACCTGGACTCTGACTCAGCCAAATTGACATGAAATTAATTATCCGCACATTCTTTATAATTCCTAGGCAGTAACCGGCAGCATTTTGATACCTTCACACAAATTGAATTTGATCCCCATTCAAGTTAAGAACTAACTCTGTTGAGTGGAGATAAAAAGGAGAAGGATGTGAAGATTAAGAATTCATGATTTATGATATGAACCAGAAGAACCGCATTTTGTCACTCAGATCTGCAAGGTGTGTGTGCTTCTTCAGCTGTCTTTGAAATAAGAAAACCAACAGTTCTTTCTATTTTATGCTTGAGGGAACAAATGTCTCAAAATTTGACTGACTGCAAGGCAGCTGGTTGCATTTGTAATTGAGCCAAGACATAACTGCACGTCTTCTCATTCCCCAGCTCTACTCTGTCACTTGGGTTTCTGGGAAACATTTGGCCTAAAAAACCCTTTTTAGAAATTAAGCTCAGACATTTAGAGAAACAGAACTGAGTCCTTCGGGGTTTTAAGCTCCTGATTTGTGTTAGGTGTATTGCTTTTAAGGACGCATCCCTGCATAGGATAGAAACACGTTATTAAATTTGGGGCAAACAAGCTGTAACTTGAATAACAATCAGTACAGGCACTTTGTACAATGTTTCAGCGACCAGTTGTACTGCGATACATCATCAAGTGTAGTGAATATCTGGGTTTCATTTGTTTGTTTGCAAGTCCAGGGACTTTGATGGTTATTCTAATTTCCAACAGCTGCTGGTGAGAGCTAATGTTAACTTGAGTTAACCACATTTTCCTAAACACCCCACACAGACCATTTTTGTTTTCACAATGACTGTAAGAAAGAAATACAGCTGGGCAGTAGTGGCACATGCCTTTTATCCCAGAACTCAGGAGGCAGAGTGAATTCAAGGCCAGCCTTATCTACAAAGTGAGTTCCAGGACAGCCAGGGCTCCACAGAGAAACCCTTTCTCAAAAAACCAACCCCCCCAAAAAATATAGAAAAAAGAAAAGAAATACCTGAGGAAAGTGAAGCTCCTTGATCCATTTTGTGGAGCTAAAGGTCAAACTCTGGGCCCCATGCACAAGTTCTCTAGACTGAGCTGTGCTCCAGCCCTACTTAAGTAACAGATTCTTTTCCCCACAACTGGTGATTATTCCAACAGTGGTCATCAAATATTCTATTTCTTTCTAATTTGAAAGCACAAATGAAAACAACATTTAAATTAAGGATGTTTCTGGAATGTGTGTTCTATTACACTGATTCTCATACACTGTCAATAACGTGTTGTCAGTGTGTAGGTGTCTTAAACTACATGTTGGCATTGTCAGGCAAAGCATTTCTAATTTTCTTCCTATTTTTTAAAAAAATTCTTGACATTTATTCTCCGGAATAAACTTGAGAGTACTAGTAAATTCTGTGTAGATTTGGGAGATTTGTTGATTCATGTGCGATGATGCAAGCTCGATCCCTGGTGTGTGCCTATAATCCTAGCACTTGTACAGTGAGATGGGAGGTGGAGCCAAGAGGATGTTGGAAGTTCCTGGGCCTCTTAACCTAATACATGCAGGGTAGCAGAAGCCAGAGACTCTGTCTCAACAAGGAAGGAATAGAGAAGCAACTCCTAAAAGTTGTCCTCTGATCTCCATGTGTGTACTATAGGGCATAACTCATGCGCACATACACACAAATAAATACATATTAAGAATTCATATGCATATGCATATATATATATATATATATATATATACACAGATGAACTTTTGTGTAATTGTTAGTTTAGCTCTCTGGTTATAATTGGCTGACTTCTTTTTGGGAAAAAATCATACCTATATCATATATACACATTGCTTTCCTTTCAAAATTAATTTATTATTGTATGTATGTCTATGTGTGGACCTCTGGGCATGTGGAAGTCAGAGGATAACTTACAGGAGCCTGTTCTCTCCTTCTAACATGTGGGTCCCAGGGGACTGAGTCCGGTTGTCAGGCTTGGTGGCAAGCGTCTTTATGCACTGAACCATCTCACTGGCCTTCTTTTCTGAGACAGTCTTGCTATGTAGTCCAGGCTGACCTAGAACTCACTCTATGACTCAGGCTGGTCTGGAAGTGTGATCTTAAGTACTGGGATCACAGGTATGTGTTACCACACCCAACAAGAAGGGAGCATATTTTAAAGACTTTGCATTTAACACCTACAAATCATATGGAGCCGGGCGTTGGTGGCGCACGCCTTTAATCCCAGCACTCGGGAGGCAGAGGCAGGCGGATCTCTGAGTTCGAGGCTGGGCTGGACGGATAGCCTCCAAAACAATACAGAGAAACCCTGTCTCGAAAAACCAAAAAAAAAATCATATGGCATACACTAAACCTTGGTTATATGAACAAATGAATGGGATACAAGAACTAAATAAAATTTTAAAAGAGGATGACAGTTCTTTTCCTGAGTATATGAAATGGGAGGGGGGAGATCATATAGCCCAGGCTTACCTCAAACATTAAGTATACCTGCCCATTGTCTTATGTGTCTCAAATGTTTTCTGCAGTTCATGGCTTTTAAACAGAGTGATCTCACATTTGTTGATGATGAATCTGCTTGTGGTAGCTGGAATTCTGGGTTTAGACGTTACACAACCTGTCTGTACTTTGGGAAAAGCTCTGTGTGGAATGATATGTGGACCGTGTATTAAAAAGATAATACTACCTGTTGCACCTATCACAGATCACAGAATAAGGAAAGTGAGGGCTGCTCTAGTGATGTAAGCAGGGATGGGGTTGTCTTAGTTAGGGTCTCTAGTGCTGTGAAGAGACACTATGGCCACAGCAACTCTTACAAAAGAAAGCATTTAATTGGGGTGGTTTGCTTATAGTTCAGAGGTTCAGCCCATTGTCATCATGGTAGGGAGCATGGCAGCATGCAGGCAGACATGGTGCTGGAGAAGGAGCTGAGAGTTCTACATCTGATCCACAGGTGGCAGGAAGTGAACTGAGACACTGGGCATAGCTTGAACATAAGAGACCTCAAAGCCCTCCCCCACAGTGACACACTTCCTCCAACGAGGCCACATGTACTCCAATGAGATCACATCTCCTCATAGTGCCACTCCCTATGGGCTTATGGGAACCAGTTACATTCAAACTTCCACGGTGGTAATGGAGAAAAGGCAGACACCATGACTTGGCTATAGCTCCCCACCGCCACCAAGTTCTAGTAACTCGATCCGCAGCGTAACTGTCTTGACAGATGATAGGACATTTAAGAGGCCGAGTACATGTAACCTAGAGGAGGGTCATTAGTTCATGGAATTACCATCCTCATAAATAGATGGATGTCTTTCTCTGTAGGGTGGATTAGCGTGGTCTCATGGGAATGCAGTAACATGGGGCTGGATTAACCACTACCAAGAGAGTGGGTTGCTAGGGCGGGTCAGCTTCCCCACTCTCGGTGTCTCGTATATGTATACGCATAATATATATATTATGTATATAAATACACACATATATATATTCTTCCACATATCCCCCACTCCTCCCTCACATTTCTACCATGAGCTGAGGTAGAATGAGGCCCTCACCAGACTCTGAGGAGATTCAGGAACAATATTCTAGGCCCTCCAAGACTGAGCTAAACAAATTCTCTTTCTTTATAAATTATCTAGCCCCAGGTATTATATTATAGCCACATAAACTGTACTAGGTCAGTAAGTAAAAAAAAAATGTACTTTAGGAATGCAATGAAAAAAATAATCAAGAGGTTTTGCACATTGAAGGCTAACAGTGATACACGGAGCTGGAGTCAGGAGTATCAAGGTGTGAGATCAGGTGACTAAGAGAAAGATGGCCTGGGTAGCAAAGGAAGAAACAATTAAAAGACAACCTGAAAAGAGAGAGAATTACTTGCATACCTCATATCTAATAAGGGGTTAGTGTCCATGTATATTAGAAACTCATAAAACTTGATAGCAAGAGTCTGTATGTTCCAATTAAGAATGGGCACTGCATCTGAATAGATGTTTTCCCTAAAAAAACAAACAAATGGACAACAAGTGTATGAAAATGTGCTCAGCTTAACTAATCATCAAAGAAAATGTTAATTTAGGTTAGAGAGGTAGTTCAGTTAGAAACATTTGTGGCTTTTTTTTTTGAGGACCCGAATTAAATTCCCAGCACCCACAAGGAGACTCCCAACCACTTGGTGGCTTACAACCATTTGTAATGAGACCCAGTGCCCTCTTCTGTTGTACAAGCATATATGCAGACAGAACACTGTATACATAATAAATAAATCTTTAAAAAAGAATTTTAAAATATAGACATCAAATACATTAATAAAACTTTTGAAAAGAAGTCAAAAGATAATAAGTATTGGTGAAGATTTGTAGAAAAGGGATTCCTTTATAGCGTTAGTTGAATATAAACTGATAAAGTCATTATGGTGACAGTATTAACATTCCTCAAAAAAGCTGAAAATTTAGGGTGAATGTACTTTTCACAAAGACTGACGACATGTTCAATTTCCCAGGCCCCTCATGGTAGAAAGTTATCCTGTAACCGCCACATGTGTTCCCTGGCACACACAGGATGTATGCATATACATATACAAAAACATATGAATAAATAGTGTGATTTTAAAACGTAAACTTTGTCATTTGATCCAGTATTGTCACATACACAAGGGAAAGGAAACAGAGGGGTAACTACGCCCCCATATTTATTATGGCCTTACTCATAATAATGAGATATAGAATCAGATTATATGTCTATGACGGTTGCATAGATAAAGTAGATGTGACAATCATAACAACAATATTGTTCATCCTTTAAAGAAAGGAGATTGTGCCATTTATGATAACATGGAGGACGTTATACCACATGAAATAAGTCAGCTACACAAAAACAAGTATTTCACTTACATGTGAAATCCTGAAACGTTGAACTCATGGAATATAGTAGAAAAGTTATTCCCATGGGACAGAGGTAGGGGAGATGCAAATGGATATATTTTATAGACCTAATAATGCACAGCATAATAACCACAGTTAATAATGGTGGACTGTCTTCATGAAATGTTCTATGATAATAATCTTAAATATTCTTACCACACCACATGCAAGGTGATCATTTCATGCCATATCCTGAATATCATGTACTACTGAAACACATACAATTTTTACTCGTCAGTTATGGCTTGATAAATCTAGCTGTATAACTGACATATGGGGGGCATTCAGAAAAGAATGTGGGTAAGGGAGGTGATTTGTTTAGCATAGGTAAGTTGAGGTTCTGGATAGCCAAGTGGAAATGTGTGGGTTTAAGACATTGTGTTTACTGGGCTCAAACACAGATTCATAGGGAGGCAGCACAGGTTGGTGGAATCACCCCTATCCTGTGCATGGCTGGAGTGAATTCCTTGGTTTTTTTTTTTTTTTTTTTTTTTTTTTGGTTTTTCGAGACAAGATTTCTCTGTGGCTTTGGAGGCTGTCCTGGAACTCACTCTGTAGACCAGGCTGGCCTCAAACTCACAGAGATCCGCCTGCCTCTGCCTCCCGAGTGCTGGGATTAAAGGTGTGCGCCAGCAACGCCTGGCTCCTTAGGGATTTTTAAGGGGTCCTAGAGAGAGGGAACAGTGTCATGGACACTCACAGTGCTGCAAGCTGGCTACACTCTGGCCTCGGCTCGCCTTTCTCCATCCGAGGAATACGATTGTTGATAGAGCATTTATCAGGATGATGTTGGTGTACTCAGCTATAAAGAATAGGGCAAATGGTCCTTGTTAACTCTGTTCCCTTGGTGATTTCTGTTGGAGGAATAAGGCTGCTGTTGGACTTTGAGTTTGTTCTGTAGTGAAAACAATGTGATCCCATCCAGTGCACACAGTACTCCATAGATACAGACTACATTCGCAAGTGACCCCATTTTCTCCTCTTGTTACTGTGCTAACCTTGTGAGGTAGGAAAGAGCAAGCATCATTTATCTTCCCTTTACTGAGGAAGTCACTGCCCAGTGTGTTTGAAATTTGTGAACACAATCTAGGTTGTAAATCACAAAGCTCAGTCAGGTATTCTTCTTTTTAATATAACATATTCCTTTTAATTTTTGAGAATTTCACCAGGCATGCTGGCACACATCTGACCAGCATAGGAAGAGACTGGCAGACCTTGGATCCTAGAGTTTGAGGTCAGCCTGGTCTACAGAGCAAGTTCCAGGACACCCAGGGCTACACAGAGAAATCCTGTCTCAAAAACCAGAACAAAGTGACAGCACAAAAAAGTTTTAGGAATTTCATACAATGTATTTTGTAATTCCCTTCACTCATCCTTATAAATGCTCCCAGATCCGCTCCCATACCCATCCCACTAAATTTTGTGTTGTTCATATATTTCTGGACCATCCTCTGAAAAGTGGTGGACCTGTC